GTCGCTTCAGTTGTTAATAGCTTTTCTGCAGAAAACGAGACTAGGACGGATGCCGAAGGAAGACGTCAACATCAACCCTTCTATTAGGGGTCATCACTATTCTCCCATCCGTAGCAAATGTACTTCTTCCCCTCCGCTGAGGTTTATCACGCAGAAGTGGAAAATCAGGATACGTCTTTTAAGATCGGGTTCGCTTTCCTCTGCCACCAATGTAGCGTCCCGGGACTCCCTGAAGACGAAAGAAGACACAATACTCCGGCAGAATATATATATTCAGCACGGAGAAGGTGTCTGAGCTATTGGCATGGCCCAAAAGGTCAGCCCACCCAGCGAGGTACAAGGGGGCTAATTCAAGGTACAAAAGTGGCGCCTCACCAGAACCGAGGGATAAACCACTATCGTATTACACCACCGCTTACTATATTCTAAATAACTTCTTGACTCATCTACCTACTCCTGTGCCTAAAAACCATGTTGTCAATCAACTTGTACCAGCAAATATTATTTAGGTAAATTCTATTTGTTCATTTTCAAGTGAAATAAGTGTATTTGTTACTTTTAATCTTCAATCTACATAAAGTTTAAATGCTTAAAATCAGTGTCTGTAACCACGTGTGCATAACTAAACTATTTCGAAGCATTAGATAGCTAACCAATGTAGTTTTCGTTTTTATTTCTCATGTGATATTTCTTGGGTTGTAAAGCCACTTTCGATCTACAGATTTTAGGGATGTGTGATTTTATTCAGGAATCCGTCGGTCTTGAATCTGGGACCTTTTCCGGCCTTATTGGCTATGATATTTATTTTAGAATTTGTTGTTGTGCTGAGACCTTATTCTGACTTTTAACCCAAGTTTGTCGCATAGTTTAGTAAAAGAATTAATGTGTGCAGCAAGACATTTCTACTTTCAATCTAAATTTTCACTTTTAGACTAACAGAATAAGAAACTCCCCTTTTGACGAGGTGGTTGATGTGTCCACTTCAGATTCGGACGAAGTATTGAGCACTACGTCGTTCATTGTTGAGGGAAAAGGTGTGATATAGTTGCGCTTAGTATATTTATAAATTGTCATTATGAATTTATCCGAAATTTCATGGAGTAATTTTTAACTTTCCAATCACTTTCAGACCAAATGGAGGTAAACAGGACAAATGTCTATATCTTGATATACAAATAAAAGCAGGCCCCAAATGAGCGCCTCCAACTATTACGCGGAAATTAATCAAATATAATGTAAAATTTCTGAGTTAAGGACTTATAAATAACCACCTTATAAAAAAGTTATTTGTAAATTTTTTGGCAGAACCTAGTTGATCTAACACTTGTAGCTTTTCCATGTTACACTATTATTGCGTACCATTACTTCGGAATAGCAGAAGAACTGCATCTTTAAAACCACTTCTAGAAGAAATCAACCATGTAAGGCGTTTTAATCCCTATCATTTCCCCAGTAAGTACGTGCTTGTGGCATTTGAGTGAAGAGTGTTACCAGTATCATCCTTTATTATATTTAAGTTTGTACTCTATGTGCTTGAGTAGATGAGTTTATAATAAGTTGTTACGAAATATTTAGCCGATGGAAGACAGAAAAACAGCATGTCATACTGATCACAATAGTGAAGTAATTGCAAATTATTTTGAGTCGGACAGTGAAAAGCGAAATAGAATTAGCAAAATCAGTTTGACCAATAACTCAGCCAAAGCTAGCACCTGTAACACATCTGATGAAGAAAATGATGAGAATGAAAGTAGGGAAGAGGACGATGGAGCTAGTGACGGTGACGTGGACGAAAACGAAAACTCACACCTGGAACCAAGTACTGGGTAAATATGGGCACATCTACCTAGCTGATTACCTCTTCAACGAGACGTATGAGTCGCATATATTTTTCAGGCTATACAATCCGGCTGACTTTGAACATTTGATAGTTTTGCCAGAAGTGAAGGAGATGTTCCAATATATTCGGAGGTATAAACCTCAGAAGATTGACCTTGAAACAAAAATTCGACCCTTTATCCCAGATTATATCGCTGCTGTTGGTGACACTGATGCCTTTCTTAAAGTAGGTTCGACTAAAATGATCGTGAAGTCCCTGGTCATCTAAAAATTCGCCTTCTTGATTTTGCGTCTGTAAGGTGCCTAGACCCGATGGCAAACCTGATAACCTGGGCTTAATTTTGTTGGATGAACCCAGCACCAATCAATCTGATTCAACAGTGCTTGATCTTCAGTTGCGTGCAAGTTCCAAACAAAAATCTTCTAAGGAAATGGTAATTTCCCATCAGCTGAACTGTGGCATAATTATGGCAAAAATGGAATATTTACGTACGCATGCTATTAATTCCTCGTAGATTTCGAATGAAGGCGTCCATGTATGAGAGTGTCCTTTAAATTTTGAGCCAAAAGTACTATATTTTCTTCACTAAGATAAAATCTCAGAGATATCTTACGCTTTGATTACTGTTATGGTGAAAGAGCGGTGTCCTTTAACACATGGTTTCTTCCACGAAATTAACAATCACACTGGATTTTGCTGTTGATATGAATTCTTAGACCATGTCTTAATAGGTAAATTTAGAAATCGTACCCCTGCCATTTTAGTTATCTCAAAATACAATGTTTCGTTTACATTAAGCGTTTATTCTCATATCGCATAAGAGAAGCATTATTTATTGAAGCATCACAGTACCAAAAAATTGCTGTTACATCTGGAAAATAAGAGCGAATACAATCTCATTAAAGGGCATTTAAATGGTGCTGTGCCTAAGTTCTACTACTTGCAAGGTTTGATCGCAGATGGATACCCCACAATAGAGTGTCGTCCAAATGAATACTCAACTTTGGCGTTTTTTTTCTACCGCCGTAGATTGTCAAAAGTATCGAGGATCTAGAGGAGAATGGAAAAGAAATTGACAAGTGGATCAAAAATATTACTAACCTTCATCTTTCCAAACCACCTCCAGCTGTTCACTATACAAAGTATGCATTTCGTTTTAATATTAACTCCTTTAGCTTTAAATTCAGGCATACTGTGGAGCTAAGTTCGTCGGCGATTTTGTTAGAATAAATGGAAGTCTTGCGCTACTTACTGTTCTCATATTTTTGTGCCTATAGTCTACTTTCAAGCTTTAATAATTACTTGTCACTATTTGATCGTCATATCAATTTTATATTCTCTAGGTTTATCCTATACGGATATCCTTTTACTCCACTTTTCTTAGATCTATGTCGATTTTATGCTAAACAATACTGCATTATGTGCATTTTATAAATCATAACACCTCCTGTTTTGTGTATTTGTATATTTAACCTCGTGTTCGTATTTTTGTTAATTATGTAAAATACAACTTGGGACCATGATGGGTCTTTGCCTGGGCAGACAGACACTGTGCTGGAATTATCTTGCGGACGAGTATTAAAACAAGTGGCATGCCCAGTAATTTAATTTGACATCAACTCTGATAATTCCAAAATACTAGTTGTTGGATCTATGAGCATTCCTTAGTAGTTGTATAATGAGTTTGTTTGACATTTTTAATATTCAAATAGGAATTTGGTGAATGTCTTTTCATACTAATAACAGTTAAATGCACATAGTGAAGAAACATTACGGCTGAGACTGGAATCCAAAAATTACTTGACTTCAGGTGATCCGCTTAAATATACTGCTTCACACCAAGGCAGTCACTTTGTAAGCGTTGAAGATATTTTCAACAGCAATGATTCATTTTAATGGTTCCACACGACTGATCCCTTTGGGGTGCCTCTGGGAAAACTTATCAGATATGTATTTTTTTTAGTTTTCATAGTGTCACTGTCTAACTTTTGGAGCAAATAGTGATTAATGGTGATTGAAAACAATAAATTCATCTGCAGCTAGCCTTCTCAGTAATTTCGTTCTTTGAATCATACGCGGGTGGATAATTTAGTAAGACATATCAAACTGCGCAGCATAATTTGATGACTTCTTCAAATGAACGAATCATTCCCACAATACTGGGAAAACACATTGCTTTTTTAACAATACTTCATTAACCTTTTTTTAATCGGTGTACTAAGCTTAATTGCCTAGACCAACAAAGCAAGTGCCACTAATTTACTTTAGTCGTTTAGCTTGGAAAACTGCCATTAGTTGTTAAAGAATCGCATACTGGTCCTACCCTCATGTTTTCAGTAGACTCTACACATTAGCATCACTTCAGAGCACGAGTTGTGCATCCAAGTTTAGTAACAGCATCTAGATAAATAAGACGATAATGGGGGTCTTTTGCATTTTTAAGAGTTTTTTTTTTTTCATTTCACAACGTCTGTAATTTTTGCAGAAACTATTTATGGCTAGTGGACAAAAGTCTGCGAAGCCATCTATTTTGTACTAAAGCCATATCTAGAAAGCGAAATACTTTTGCTCAAAGTAGTTCGCTCCCCTGAAGCAACTTCAGTTTCCGCCACAGACAAGTAACTTAGGTTTAAAATCAAAGGAAATCTGCAATTCCAAAGTGTTCACGCCTTACTACTGACCTCTATTGTGATTATTTTGATGCCTCTGAGAGGAGGGCTAATGCATGATATCTTTCCGGAAATTTTTGTTTATTTTAACTCAAAAAGTAAAGGTAAGGGTTTGAATTCGACATTCCATTGCTATCACTTTTGCTTGAGATGTGGTCATAATTTTTCAAAAGCGTTAGTTATTGAATAAATCCTACTTTACTCGAAATTAGACTCATAATAAGCCACAAAACGCAGATTTTTTTCATTTCCGGATAAAAGATAATGAAAGTTATCAACTTTGAGAAAGTGGATAACAATTTGTGATGTTAATGGGACGTAAATTATCGAAGCGCTGGTACAGACATCACCAATTTTTATATTCATTGAGTGACTGAGTGAGCGGCGGATGTCAGTAATAGCATCGTCGTATCATGAGAAACCGGTGTCTGCGGTGCTGACTTGTAGCGAAGACGGTCGTGTCATTGCCTGGCACAACCATCCAGCAAATCAAAGTGCGCACTAACCATTTGGTACTGCATACAATCATAGGATTTGCAGTGTTGTCAATTTCAATGCATGGAGTGATAAGAAAACACTGTTAGATCTATTCATGAATTAGCATGTGTATTCGACGACACCCTTAAAGATGACGTTATGACGCAGGATCACCTAAGAGGAAGTGAAGTTGGCACAAAAAGCGACCCACACCTCATTCGAAATTACATGTCACTCTCATAGTGTACCTGTCTCCTCCTAGTCATGGTATTTGATCGTGAAGTATAGATAAATTGTAATGTTTGCATATAAGCACGGAGTTTATTAATAAATACATGCAATGTGAGGTGCAGTAGGATCTTATCTTTCTCTACCTCTTAGCAGTAGACGACAATTGTTCTCCTGGCTAATACCTACCTTTTTATTTCCACGGAGGCTTTAAATCAAATTTGTTTTTGTCTTATGGACAACTTTCTCTCCTTCTAATGCACAGTGCAGCGGATTGCCAATGGATTTACAAAGCGTGTCTCAAATGTTACTTTAATGTACCTTTTAAGAATATTCTACATGTTTTGGTTGATCTTAAACTACATCACTTGTAGCCTGCCCCCTCAATAACATCAAATGTCTATTGTTCCAAGAAGGTAAAAATTACCAATTCAGGAATCTTCTGTTTAAATTTGTACCCGATTTCCCTGGTTCAGGACTTGCTAACCTATCCTAGTTACTGGATTCGGACTGGCGCACTGTTACTAAGATTGTGCAGGAAGAGATAGTAGGAGTGAATGCGTGCTGATCTGCGTGAATTTAAATCTTGCTTGAAAAATTTCACATTTCCAACCTGCATTATTCCTATTTTTATTTTATAGAAAAGGTGGTTCCGTTTTTGTTTTGAAATTAGGCAAGCTTACAGAAATTCATACGCTTTTCTATCCTATATCAGACTTTAATCCACCATTTTAAGCTTAACTGCGTATGCTTTGTAAAATGCGGTGCTTAAGTAACTGAAGGTATCCTACTTGCATAGACTGCGTTAAATGTTCCAATGTTATGCAAAATGCCGTAAAATAATTATGCTTTATTAATTACGTGATCTTGACCGTTAAAATGAAGTTTGTGATTTAGAAATTTGTGGTATAAGTAAGATGCTGGCAATTTGGCATGCTTTTTGCGCAAATAAAAAGAGGAAAATAAACGTATAATAACTGGGCACGAATTGTGGCGCACAATGCAAGCATGTTAGAAATGGGATAATTTGGTAAAATTAGACATGCCATTAACATTGATGAGTGTGTAATTTGTGCCCTCCACAAAGACAGTAGTAATGGTGTTTAGGTGGTACTAACATTTTTACTTTACTACAAGGGCTATAGTAATGCATCCGTTCGATTGTTACTCCCTCACTTTACCCAAGATTAACATAAGTGTTATTTGTCGGCATTCATTTGAAGGCCATGTAAACGAATTGTTCCTGATGGGCCGTGCATGTATTTACTTTGAGTTACTATTTCAAATATTTTTAAAAATAGACCCTACATGTGGTGTGGATAATAAGTACTGGCAGAAGGATAAAACTAAATAGCGTTCAATCGTATTTACTTTCTATGGTTTACTAACTTCAATTCCTCCCTATTTTTATGAATAATATATACTGGTCATACAACTTTCAAATACCACTTTTGTTAACAACGATTTTGAGTTAAAAACTCCAAAATTTGTTAACTCTCACGAGCAATCTCTTTAGGTAGCTGAAGTAACTTCTAACCGCATTGTATCTTCATTGAATGTAGCACATGTATTTATATAAGAGTACAATGACCAAAACCAGTCCACTTTGGTTCTGCTCCTCACATCGTATACCGCTTAAATACTACCTAGAAAAGTGGTAAGGTCTCTGCTCGTCTGGGAGGCGCTTAAATACTTTCATCACTTCAGTAAACTTGTGTTGACGTAGCCAAAAGGAATGTCTATCAGGTAGGTAGGCATTATTAAACTATTTCACTACCGACCACTGTAGCTTAAATGAAACAATCAAACAGAAATATTATAGCCTTTCTTCCTAGGCCAATGCCGGATTTGACATCCCTCATGAGTGAATGGCCCGAGGATTTTGAGAAAGCTCTGACAATAGCGGAAATGCCTACGGCAGTACTCAACTGCAACCTAAAAGAATATGTTGAAATAATATGCGGTCAGTTTTTGTGGACTTAATTTCACAGTCAGTATAAACAGGATTTCTGAATGTTTCATTAATGCTTTGAAAAGGAAAAGTAATCAGTTGAGAGAGGTTTGCTTATAAAATTGTATAATAAGACTTATTTTCTTCCATCCAACAGAGTTTGCGTGTTTCTTAATACTTTTCGAGCTTGCTCACGGCTTAATGAGGAACAATTTAAAAAAAAGGACGCTAAAAATGGGGAAAAAATACCACAACTTTAACTGCTAACCAATTGTTTTTATGGGATTTTAGCTATAATGGATATTCCTGTGTATGGTAATTGCATCGAATCTCTTCATCTCCTCTTTTCTCTTTACATGGAATTTAAAAATTCGCAAGTATGACTTAATCTGTTTTTGTTATTAAATTAAACTTCCTTTATAAATAAATGCATTCTCTTCCATATTTTAGCATTTCCAAAAGAACGAGGGTAGAAAGTTAAGCAAAGAAGCAAACTCTGTATCCTAGCTCTACTTCTCACCGTTTTTCCATTATTTTAACCATTCACTGAAATAAATACAAAATATCAATCTGATAATTTTGTTTTTTTGGTGAATATAAACAACTTTTATCCTTAACTATCCTGTGCTCAGATTGCTAAATGAAGCCTGTAAATCAGTAAATGCAAGTAATTTTTAATAAGTTAAAGTACTTCTAACTAATCGAGCAACTTAGTTCAAAGATCACCTACAGTTGTGAAGACTAAATTAATGCAATTTCTTTAGTAGCAGGTGAGGGTTTTAAGTTAGTTAGTTACTTCATTGGGTTGATGTTTTATTTTATTGTGTTTGAGCACTCGTGAGAAGATGTCAGCTTTGACAGTTAGCAGCGATGTACTGACTATGGGGTGTCACTAAAGTACAGATATTTTACAAGTTTGAAATTACCTTCCTGTGCTAATGGTGTTAAAAACCTACACAAAATTACCAGCATTTATTTAACAACATCTGCTTATCTCCTTCAACCAAGGTCTTGTTGATACAGTAAAATTGACTGTGGATGAATATGAAAGTACAAATTACCGCCTCAAAAATTGAACCTCCACCAATGGTAATTTTCTGGTTGGTAAATTTGGCATAACTTGGCAGCCAATCTATTGCAACTTCGAAGGTGTCTGAAGACCCTTCACAGTGTTTCTGCATGCGATAGATCCATGGCACTGGCGGGAAACGACCACAGCTAACGAAGTGTACCCTCATGCTAGCAGCCGTGTTTGCAGAAAAGTATGTGGGCCTCTATTTCATGTCAATTAATGCGTCTACCATTCTACACCCTCACCGGTTTATCCATAAGTTGACACACCTTATCGTCTTCTCATAGATCCAGTTCTGTTCACTTAGTGTAAACTGTTGCGTTTAAATCAAAACCTTGGACACTTCATTGTATGCCAAGAGGCAATCAAGCAGTTGCATCACTCTTAACATCATCGTACCATTACCAAAGCAACTTCTCAAAGAATCGCAAAATTTCTTCACACCAATGATTAGCTTAAAGTACTTTCCTTTGAAGGCTACCAGGCGTAGACAGTCTGAACTTTTGTACTTTGGAAGTTGAAGCTTCCATTATCATCTGTTGGCGGATTAAATAGTTGTTAAACTTCCCTTCAATTCCCATATTATCTGGATTTCGGTGACTTGAGCTTTAATAAAACTCAATAAAAAAAATATTACAATCTCGAAAAGTTTTGGAAGGATACTCACTAAATACACTGACAATGCCTTTTATTTGTCCTTTATTAATTCTTTTACTTAGAATAGAAAATAATCCAGTATCACCATCTGAGAGTACTCCAAGTTAACAGTTCATTTTCGTTTATATAAAAGCTAGTTCGCATTGTTTTGATATTGATGATACTGACCAGATTTTGTAGATCAATTCGCATCTCTCATCCCTAAATTATAACTGCAATTTTTTTTTTCAGTTATACACTAATTTTCGGAAAAATACGCCTGTGTCCTATTGCACAAATACTGATAGATCGTTGTTTAATGTTAAATCAGGCAGTTCAAAAAGTAAAAGTCGAAAATCAAATTATAATTATCAATGCACTAGTAAAAAGGAAACTGTTTAATGTTTTAAGACAGTTGCTCGTTCTGTCGTAAACAACAATGCGAAGCAAACACTATTTCATGTATTTGAAGAAATAAGTAAGGTGATGTGAGCATTTTGGATTTGTGGCAAAAAGTGGTTTCATGATGGATTGTGCAAATTTGTGAAACCACAAACAAGTGTTGCGCGGAAACGTAGGTGTCTCTGTGTGCAAGCTGACTGCACACCCTAAGTCATCCATTCTCATTTTTGGATTGGTGGCGTGAGTACACACTACAACAGGATTGGCTGAGTTGGTTCACTCTTAGATCCAATTTGCGAGTACTCGCCATAAATAATATTCACTCACTTGAAAGCACACGAGTCATAGTCATTTGCAGCAGACAAAGGCGCACAAAAACACGCCAATGGGTCTACGATTCGGTGCACGTCGACCAAAAGAGAAGCAGACAGATGACAAAAAGACGCGAAAAAGCAGCAAGACAAAGAACGCAGACAAGTCAAAAACTCTACCACCAACAGGTGCTGGAAGTGCAAACAAGTCGGCTGATAAAGGCTGTTCAGAATCCTCCATCCCCAGTTCAGTCAATACAACTGCTTCCAACAATCTCTACAATTCACAGTCAGCCGGCAATCGCGGCGTCCTCTTTCGAGACAATCGATTTCCCGATGGCACTGCAATGCCTCGCATCCGAACACAACAGACACAAATCAACCCACCAGGGGATGACAGAGAAGGACATGCCTCTCCCACGGGCTCTGTCTATTCTTCGGCCTCCATCCAGCCTGCTTTTCTCAGCTATGCATCTTATCCTTCTTCCTATGTCCCTCAGTTATCCACAAAACCCGTTGAAACCACGACCAGAATACGTGAACATAGCCACAGTGATACTGTCTATCAGTCGGTGTACCCTGAACCCCTGCCCAAACCTGACTACCCCGTGTCCAACGACGGCACCGGAAACTCTAATCGAGACAGTGGACTTGACACGGAATCGCGCTCCTCTTCTACCGGAAAGCCGGTCAAGGCCGGTGCGATTGAAGAATATTCCCGGTGGAAAGTAAGTCGATTTTTCATTTCACGGTAGGCCTAAATTTCCAAAAGTCCTAATAGTGCTTGTCGAGATCCCATTTAATGCGGTATTAAGTGAGTCAATCATCCACCACACTTGATGTCTTCTTACGGATTACTGGCCAAGGAAAATGGAACAATAACCGAATTGAAGTTCTGCGGTTTACAAAACTACATTTCTAGTTAAAACTCAATCCAAGCGGGAAATTTACTTTGTGTTTCCCTTAAAGCCTTTGTTAAGCAAATTAATTTACCTTAAAAGGTTCCTTGACAAATTATTTAACCTTGTGTTGTGTCACATTATAATGTGGTTAAGCTCTAAAATCATGCATTTTTACTACAGTTAAAATAATTACAAATATTGTTTAAGCTGATTAGAAAATGTCCAGGAAAACTCAGGAAGATTAGGCCAATTAATTGTTGGATTCACTCTAAAATTGTGCGTTAATCTGCTTACTATGGGGATATTCAAATCGGAATCCCATGTCATGCACAATTTAGAATATTAGATTCTCACGAGTGATTGACACTTGATAGCGCATTTTAAACGCAGTACCACTGATCTTGTGTAAGAGTAAAAGTAAATGAGATATTTCTGTGATATTTTCAGGGCGCATCACATCAAGGAGCTGCAAGACAGGGAAAAGGCTTTCAATTACAACACTTTAGCCATGACATGCCAAATAGTGTCTATAATTTCAGTGAGTCACCTCAAATTTTACTACCAAAAAATTACCCAATCAATCGTGATACACCTGATTTTGTAAACTTCGCGTTTACCATGCCATCGCGTCGTCAAAAGCAACTGAATACCAACGGCACCACCTATGGTACCTCTGTGATACCTCGCAAACGGCTGAATCAGAAGGATCTTGACGAAAAGGCGTACCGTCTGCGATCTGCAAATAGACAATACCGTTGCTCTTCCAGTTCATGCTCTGAAGATGTTATTCGAACCTCACGTAGCACAATGTTCTTGCAACGCATTCAGTTAGATGATGGACTGACCTCTGAGAAGCGTAATTACGGACCAGGATCTGGTAGGTCAGGAAGACCATTCAGGAGGGAAGCCGAAAGCGAGGAGTATACGGCCAGATCGGTTTCATGTGGATTACCACGCGATCAGCCTCTTCGGGGAGGGTACTTCGAAGAGAAAAACGAGGTGGACAGATATGGGCGTCTGCCACCGGTCAAGCGGCCGGTCAGCAGAACACCGGACAGAAGAGAGGCCTGGGGTTTTGTTAATGAAGAAGATAATGAGGATGTCTCGGAAATTGGAGAGAAGGCGGAAGTCGACAACTCGGAGGAGGAAACTTCAGACTCTCAAGACGCTCCCTGCTATCCTAGCCTTTCAAGGGGTTATCATGGTCGATCCCGGATGCAGCCAGATTTTTTAAGGCAAAGCAGTGCACCTTCAATGGCCAATCGTAAAATCAGCGTTATCAAACTGTAGAAGATATGGATTACTAGAAAGGTCTTCATTTCGTTTTAAACTTTCAGTGTCAAAATGATGCCATTTTCTGGATATTTGAGTCTCTTTCGTGTTGCTGGCACATGTGATAGTAGTGTTGCATGAAAAATATGTCTAAAGCCTCTCTTCAATTTAATACACACCTATTTTATCAACTCCATCTTTCCATTATGCTTGTCAATGCCCTAATATGTGCGAGTGACTAAATTAGCATGTGATGCTACCCCCAGAAGATGAATCATTAAAACTTGAAGTGCCTTTACAACATAATTATCTGTCACAGTTAGGGCGCTCCACTTTCTGTTTTACGGATTATTGTGCATCCAATTTTGATTGATACTTTTGCCACAAAACAGATACAGCGAACAGATCATTCAAGCGCTTTCAAACATCCTCAGCTAACCCATAACATAATTGATGGCGGTGCTGGGTGTGTGTTAAATCCGGATAGATGACGAATCCTCATTTGAGCCGCCTGTCAGATCTTCTTGTTGAGGTAGGTAGTCATTAAATGCATAGCTACGGTCAAGGTAAAATACAGCTAACATCATATTCATAAAACGATGCGCAGTAGAAAAGTAGAAAATTTGTTTAAAGTGCGAGTATTACGAAAGCCAATTTTCTTACCATGAACCTCCATAGACTTACTTGAATGAAACAAGGCGTGCAAAACGACTGTTAACATCTACCTTACCAATGGTTAACGTTGACACAAGAGTATTCAACTGCTTCAATCAAAAAAACCAGTCAATTATACGGTAAAAGTCAAAAATTGTGTGTGGGGTGCTATTAACATTCGACCGTTCACTTTGACTGAACTATTCAACAATGCTTATACAGGATCCTTAATCGAGATAAACAAGGTAGACTCGGAGTTAATTATTTCTTGACAAAAAAGAGGAAATTTTTCTCATTATTAGACCGTGAAAAGAAGTTAGCCATTTTTTAACAGAGCATTGAACAATTTTTCCTCGCTTTATTTTAAGCTTCTGAGGTGCATTTTACGCAAAAGGGCTGTAGGGTGGATTGGTGACATATCCGATTTCCTGTACCCCAGAATGAAGACATGTAATCATTCATACATCTATATGCACACATGTGAGCCTGTCCGGGCACAATATATGACAGCCAAAAGGAAATAAAGAAGTGGTGCTCTGTCGCGACACATTACTTCCGCGTAATCGCAAATAGGGTATTGGTATAATGGAGCCCCGCTTTCGATATTTTATCCGTACGTAAGATGGAAAACTGGACACAATGAAACAGAATTTGCCATATGTAGTAAAGTAACTGTCGGCCTTGCCATGAATTCATTTTTTGGCAAAATATTCGACCACAATTGAGGTAATGAAACACAATGCTATCTTTCCTGGCCAATCATTAAAACGAAACATCAGAAGGCGTGCTGTGAGGGAATTTGAAAAGCAGATTGCCTTTTGGTTTTTGACCCCGAATATCGTGATTAACAGGCATTAATTTGTCGAAGCTGTAGTAATTTTAGTTTTATTCATCCAGGATTCTCTAGAAATGGTACAATTCCATCTCTGTCCTTGTAGATCTACAAAATTGGTCACTCGTATTGAGGAATCGACACTTCGTAGCTTTTTTTAGTGTGGATAGATTGAGTCGAGGGATTAAAAAAATTTAAATAATCCATTGCGATAGCGTTTTGTAACTTCAGTTTATAGCCAACTCATTTCTCGTTGGAAGTATAAAATGAGTCGGAGGTCAGGCAATGAGTATTTCACATTAGTTGCTTCATAAACTAACTATCGTCTCTATTTAGCTGGATTTTGATGAACTATCTGAAGGCAATGGAAGATGTGGCTCGAAAGGGAGGAACCAGTCTTTCCGACATGGTCCTGTTTTCTGCTTGCAGCACCACAATTGAAAACTAATCCTGCATATTAAGTAGGTCTATGAAAGTCCTTTCCCATGAATACACCACATAAGCTTCTTAATAACCTCTTCTAGATTGAAGCGATTTGCTGATTTGCATAATTTATGGAAACAACTTGAAGGAATCTACCACTTCAACCTTGTGTTCTTTTATTGAAAATCGTGATTCTTTAGGCACTAAGGACTTGCGCATAATGAAAAAGATCTATGTAAAAATTAGGGGGTGCCCAAAAATTCAGCTCCCAGGGCATCCATTAACATGCGGAACTTTGAATGCTACCCAGCAATAATAGCCACTTGTAAACACATGCGAATCGGTGTCTCATTCTTTTATTGCAAATATCTGCCAGAGTACAAACTACAGCCACAAAACCATCTTTTCTCCGTTTAAACAAAGTTAACGTTTACTATTTTAATTGCACTTGATTGTTTGCGTTGTCAATCAACCAGTAGTTTTTACATGACCATTTTTCAAGAGTTGCATTTTATTGCGACTTCTAAAACATCTTCACTTGCAGCTTCTGTTGTTGTTCCTATTAAAACAAACAATTTTTTAACACACTTTGGTGGTTACCCGATTCTCTGTTATTTGCATTGTCAAATCGTAATTCTTTTGGTATTTGGAAGAATTTCCACTAAGTTACCTTTCTGTGTATCAGCACATTTTTATAATGAGCCTTGTAGAACGCTAAGCGTAGAGGCGCTTGCTAAAATGCTGCCTAATTGTCTTCGAAACGACAATGGCCACTTTTACGAACAAAAAATATTGTGGTTTTGCTATTTAACTTAATTCAGAAAAAAATCTCAAAAGGAGTTTGGACGAACAATCGATGGTATCGTACCCTCTCCAATTGTGGAACCTGTAAAGAAATTACGCGTCATTCCCCGCACACACTCATAAAGGAAGACCTACCAGGATTGGACTTGCTTTAATTGAGATGACGACACTAAAATTACTGGTTTTTATGGCATTGGTAGCGGTAACAGTGACGTCAATGACTAGCCAAAGACACGGGTGTCGTGCATTTGCAAATGAGTGTGGTATGACAAGAAATGGCATGGGCTCCGAAGTAGACGTCATCGAAGACCTGGAAAGACAGGCCGATGGGCGGTTTGCACTGCTTTACAGTGCATTCGGATGAGTTCATTCGAATGTCAGAATTATCTTCATTTCTCTGGATGTCTCATCTAAGTGACTAGTCATTACATCTGTCAAAGCACTCCATCATCTAAAGCTGACTTATTACTCACAAGGTGCCTCCAATTTTCAACCGCATCACCCTAGGCATAACTACGTTCAAAGGGATTTCGATATTTTTCTGCTTTGATGACAGAAAAGTATGCCTACGTGTAAAAGCTGTAAATTTAGGTGCCATTTAAATCTAGCAAGCTATGAGAGAGTGAAACATACAGATTTGGTAATCATGCAACGCCGATGTCTACGGAGAAACATCCAGTTTGTTTTGCCTCAATGTGCTGTCCCTTTGGGTGAAGAATGCCCACTAGAGCAGGTGCTCCGGTATATTTTTCTCAAACAAGTTACCCTAAATATTCCCATCAGAATATACTATTAATACTTGACAAAGTTGTGCAGGTAATCCATTAGTCATTCAACAACACTGTTACTGGAGCTACATTATTTACATTCCTTCTCAGTAAATAAACTTTTTCATTAGCTAAGCAGGGTACTTACGTAGAGTATATTTCGCTAAGTCGATGTGTATATTGTACAGTGCTTGTATATTCAACGCCATCTACTGCTTAGACATGTCAGTGCATATACCTGGCACGAGACAAATACCAAAGTCATCGCACTATTTAGAATACGTTATTCAAGCGTGTGTGCGTGTGTATACACCCCGCGTGGGCATTGGCTCCTCTCTCTCTCTCTCTCTCTCTCTTTTAGTCCTCACAGTCATATTCGTGACCTTTCAGTTGGCTCAGCGTTATCTCGTCTTGAATCTCCGATAGTTTTTCATCCTTCTCCTCCTCCATACCTTCCATTGAAGTTGCCTTATCTTTTAGGAGCCCCTGATAGTGACGAATGTTAGCGCTTAGCGGGCCCGACTCCACTTCGTGGAAGAGTTCATGATGAGCAGCGCTTAAATACTTGCGTTGTTGGCGTTGTAGCATCTCTCGGTAGCATCGGCGATTTACCTAGGTATGAGAAAAAAAAAGCGATACTTCAAGCAATCCCATCAATCATGCATAGCACCTAGATTGGTATTACGCATATAAAAGGTTGTTTAGGTAGATTACGAAGGTTTTTAAGCTCTTCAACGAATGTAAAACCTTAGAGTCTGAGGTTTGATGAAATAAAATGTACTGACCTCAAAAGTCTTATATTTTAACAGCCGTAATGGAATAATGACGATGCGGCTAGGTGAAGCTACACCACAGTTGGAGCGTTGGATGGGGGGCTCAAGTGGTTACATTATTAGTGGCACAGTGTAGTTAGACATATAACAGGCATCACTGATGCTTCAAAGGACTCACTCAAAAAATTTGTCAATATTTGTTTGCTAGAATAAAAAGCGTCGAAAATAAACAGCTGCTGACTTGTCAAAAGCTGACATCACTTCTGTCGTGACAACTACGTTAGGTACTTTGACCTCAAAATTTGCTTCATGAATGAGACCTGCAGTAAAAGAGTCTAAATTGTCCGTTAAATGAAGCTCTTGCAAAAATCCTCTCGAAAGTATCCTTGAATATCTGACATTTATGTTGAAATAATCGTAGAAAGGCAAATAGGCGTTAATGTCGCATTGAAGTGGTAGCAAAAGGCAAGAAAGAACAGTATGGGCAAACCACGGAATATGGATTTAATTAAAAACGAATAACACAAATGGGCTTCCTGTTGAACAACACCGACAAGCTAGTAAAAAGTTCTGTTATACAATTCCAAAAGGTATGCATTTGGAAGCATTCACACTGTGACAAAAGACATCGTACCGTATCGACTGGTCCCAATTCCCTTGAAAAATTCCATGATGGCTCAAGACACCAGAGAGTGTTAAGAATGACCACCTACAGCAAACTGGAGCTGCCAAGCACCAAATTTATTTTTAGTTGTTTGTGGTACTACCCAGACTTTTCCCGTATGCTGTAAATAGCATCCTATGAGAGTGGTATGTATATCCCATTAGTCCACGCTTCCATGTTTTCTGACATCTGCATGATTAACTCGGATTTTACAAAAATCGCCATCTTGGGAACCTACTAGAAGACAGGATCACAATGTGAAAAGTAAAAGGTAATCAAAAACGGGTTTAAATCTCCCACTCCAAGGTGTCCTAGATGGACAGCCTATGGAAGAAATTAAACAAGGGCGGCTCTCTCCCTGTAACAAGGGAACACACCACATGGCACTATTGTCACAATTCTCTGCTCACAGTAACTAGAACTGCGTGGAAATATCAGATGATACGGTCTCACAGTGTTATGTGTGAAAGTCCAGAGTTCAAATGGCATTTGCTAAGCCTATTAAGCCTCCCCTTCCTCCTACCCTGTGACACGACGGAAATTTGAAGAGCTCTGTGAGTGTTTCACTGTGAGATTACACAATCCTGAAACCAAATCCTTCAAGACCATCCTTGACAAAATCACATTTCATATGCTATTTCATCTCCTGTCTGTCCTTTACTTACGATTACATTACCCGAGATCTCTGAGAGCGCAGTGCGTAGCAATGTTTTAAAAGTCTTAAAGTTGACGCCCGTAAAACATTGGGATGGAGAAAAAAATCCCCTTTCTCGAACTAATAACCAAGCTAATAAACAGACATTGAAATCAACAAAAGTAAACATTCGACGCCAACTTAAATCAAAATGGGAGAGACTTAAGCCCATGTTCTGTTGAATTTCGACAGTCAACCATCAGCAAATGTCACTCAAGACTTGACAATTTTGAATACTACTTCACAACAAGTTTGAAACAAAAGTAGGAGGAGTATTTAGACATACACTTTATGCTTATTTCATATCGCTACTTTTATACCACTATTGGAAATTTGATAATAAAACAATTGTTTCTCATCCCTAGGATCAGTAATTAACCCTACTTTAATGCCGCCTTTGTTCTACAATTCACGACAAGGCACTTCCCTGTGTGGCATAATCTGCAACTGCATTAATGGCCACTTGCAATCTAGTCGTCAGGGCAACCCCGGAGAAACGAGACCCCGGATTATCATTAACTAAATTTATCACCTAATGGTAACCTCTGCTTTGTTTTAATATCAAGTATAGCCTTCATAAGCATTGTACTAGGCTTGAAAGTAAGTTTAGCACAGCCCTCATTTTTATCCAGCAATATTCATCTAGTTGACAAGCGTCCTCACCTATTGCGATGAAAAGGGAAATTAAGACCTGCAGTTCATTCAGTCAATGTTAAAGATGTAAAAAATCATTCACTCCTGTATGATCCACTGAAGGATTTTTTTTGGGCCTGTTTCCTTGCCAAAAAGCAGCGGATCACATCCTCACCGCGGTGCTAGAAATGGTAGGTCTTGCGTAGACCTACGCATATTTAATCCACGTATGTTCAAACTATTTTCTGGAAGATTTTACACACTGAGGTTAAGTGGGTGGGTATGTGATGGACAAAATTTGAAAAATGATTTTTGGGTACTTTAACCTAAAACAACCCCTAAACATGTTTGTCTGACCTTATTAATTGGTAGAAAGTAGAGGGAAATCTTGTTAATTTTGAAATTACTCCGTAAAGAACAGCAAGTTGAAGCCAGTCAAGGTAGATTTTTCCTCAATATTTGGAAATTGAAAGCACTTTGTGTCCTTCAGTCAACCACAAAATCAACATTTCTCGTTTCAATCGGTGCGGTTGGCAGATTGTAAAATCAGTGGTAAGGAAGCTAAATTGAATAAATGTCTCGTGACAAAGTTTAGTAAACCACCCATTTCTCCTTACTTCCATCCGGACAGTCATTTAAGTAATAACAGGAATGTATCACCTTTCAATATCACATAAAGTTTTCCATAAAAATAGTGAAATGTAGGAAAAAAAGGGGAGGGAGAATTATTCTTGCTGGTTTTATGACTAACATCCCTGAAAATCTAGCAGATTCTGATTAATGTGAACAAAATACACAACAAATCTCCTGCGCAATCATTCAATTTGCAAAAGATTTGAAAAAAAGTGTACATGAAATTCAAATCACTAGAAGTTTACTATTTCCCTAATTAACAAGGTGGATTCAATGGTATTCTTGTATTCTTCAATGATTAATAAACAAAATTCTTAGTAGCATAATGCATTACATAACATGGAACAGTCGTACCACACTTTGGCAACTGACCTGGGGGAAATATAATTTCGCTGCTAGTCAAATGGTCTGGTTATTATAAAAACTGTTTTGGGATATCTAAAATACGCTTTCATAATGTCTATTAAATAACGTTGGTTGAACATTTTATTACCTCGTGGTGAATAACGCACTTATTGATAATCTCCACACCTAGGATGGAAAAATTACCTGCTACAATGAAATTATTGCCAGCCAGGCTTCATAAAAAACAAGCAACACTCCAGTTAGTGGGGAAAGAAGATTAACTCTTGCTAATTGAAGAGGAGGGCATAAGTATGATCACCAAAATTGGGGTTCCTGCATATTTTTGACTGTGAATAGTTTAAACAGTAAAATAATTATTTCATGAGGTCATCTAATTGGATTCAAAGCTAAGGTTTAAGCTGATCGGTGTGATCTATGGCTGCTTCACATGATTTGGAGCTAGCTGGTGTTCACTGCAGTTCGATCTCTTTGTCATTAAAAATAAATTACAATGGGAAAACAAGTAGAGGTTTCGATTCACCTCAGGAATGAGAAAATTGTAGACGAGTTCAGCGGCCTCTTCTTCATGTGTCAGGCGTTGCTCTGCACACCAAACTTCGTCAGGCCACAGTTTAGCTATTTTTTCAAATTCCTTGGAGGCTTTCAATTCGGCGGACGTCTCCATGGCGGTAGCAATGAGAGCTGAAAAGTAGCCATCGACTGTGTCCTGGTGAACTTTAACGACCTTCAAAAGGACAATTTGAAATGAATGATTGCCAGGCGGGAGGGATCAGGCATAGAGAACACTATGATTTAAGCGAAGTGACATATTTCCAATCGTAATTAGTATTCTAAAGTGTTTTTAGGAGCGTAAAATAATCATTTACCTCAATAAGATTTGTGGTAAAATCACATAATAATGCAGAGAGAACAATCAACTTTGTCTGGAAAATTCATTTTAAGCAGCCGGCGAATTGCGCTTTCGCTACTTCACCACTTGGATTTAATATCGTTATCATGTATGTTGATTGGGCTTGTTTAGATCAGCTACTTTATGTAGCATTGAATTTGAAAATACCTGTCGAAAGAACTCGTCGTGCTCTCGTCTGCGCCGCTCCTCCCACTGTCGCCTGCTGCTTTCTTCGATCTCACGCATTCGTCGTTCGTTGCGCGCGCGTTGGACGTATTCGTGGAGGCGCTGGTCCACTAAGAGCCGATCCAATTCCTTGCTTAGAAGATCTAACGTCGCTCCCAGCACCGTGGAATCCAGGCGTTCCAAAATTTCGTGCGATAGGTTGTTCTGTATATGGAATCAAGAATGGAACTTTAAATGGCACTAGAGGAGAAGGAGGTCTGTTACAATTGCGTATACCAATACACAGAACTTTGGAGTTGTCCTTGACTCGGCTTCTGCGCCCTCTTCACTAATACTTCAAGTAATTATGTGAGAGTGGGCTAGTTTTTCGCCACTGAAAATGTACAACAATGGAGCTACATCACCAGCTTATAACGGAAGTCTTAGGAGAATACCGCTTAGTTTTAGCAGTACTGAATGCAAATTTTGCAGCATGATCGCTAATGAAGCAAAGTCAAAATTAATGGAGTCAAAACCACCAAAAAAAAAACGTTTACAGCATGGACATAAAAGAATTCTACAGTTGTCTAAATAAATGAACTGGAAGTCTGTAGGAGGAAAAAGGTAGAGGCAGTCGGAATAAGACTTCAAGAAACTGTTCATAGAGCGTATTTAAAAAAACTACAATGAGAAGTGTTTTACACAACGTGGTCAACCTTGAAGCACTGACTTTGGAATAAATGTATAATTGGTAAAAGGTGGATACGATAAATATAATCCATTAAAGTTGGTGAAAAGGAAAAAATTCCCGTACAATTGCGTTATCAATTTCAGCTCGCTCGAATAGTGTTCTGGAAACTGATGGAAAAAAGAGTAGTGGTTGATAGTGCGAAGGACAATTAACGAGACAAGACATTGACCGCGTAATGAAATCGTATTTTTGCCATGGGAGCTTTTAAAATCACCCCCCAGTCGGTCCCCACGCTTATGACATTAAAGGGGCCTTATTTAGCGTTGGCAATAATTGTTTACGGATTTATCAACGTATAATACTAGTAAGCTGCTTCAGTAGAGAAAAAAATATTTCGAAATCGGTCACGAGTAATAACTTGACCTGGTTCATTTGCTGAACGCTGGAATATCCACCGCTTATTGAGAGTAAAGAAGCAATAAAGGAGCCTTGCTCTACCTACGTATTTTTTGTATTAAGTATTTCACACCATTTATGTTAACCGATTTGCCTCTTCAAGAATGAATAAATATCACATTTGTAATCGGGAATCTGTTTCCCATATGGCACAATAATTGAACAATCAACTGGTAATTTTCCAGTTTTTTTTTTACTTTCCGGGGTGTATCTAGAATGACTTGAATCTTATTACTCACCTCATGCTGTAAATATTCATAACGCGTCTGATTGGTGCGGATGGTCAGCATTTGTCGGCGCTTTTCGGCGCGCTCCTCCTTCGTTAGCGCGTGCGTCGAACGCAACTCGTTGATGAGTAATTGACGCTTCTTCCTCGACTCGTACATCATTGTTTGCAGCGCGCGACCTCGAATGAGTCTTTGTAAATGTATTACAGCAACCTCCCCTGCATCCCGTACCCTCTGTGAATTAAGAAAAAAAAAAAAAACAGGTCTTTGTTACAGAGCGTAACATTTTCCGCAATCTCCTGCTCTGCCACTTACATTGATCTCAGGCACCGATGGAGTTGAAGGACGCGGAACGGGTTTCTCAATTTCGAATAGAAAACGCAACGGTTTGGGTGGAGTGATATTTTTCGCGCCCAAAGAATCCATGTACTAAACATATGTTTCAAAAATGTAAAGGTTTTGCTACTTTAATACAAGTTAGTAAAATGAATTATTCCCATCGAAATACTTTGTGCAAGGACTCAAGCTGTGCCTGCCATCGGAATTGCCGTTTAAGATGGCCATCCTTAGTGTAAGGGGTAGATTTTTTCACAACGATCTTGGCGTCTACCACACTTTCTGGGATGAATTTCTCCAGTTCAGAAAGACCTATATTCAAGGAGACACAATGATAAATCATTCATTAGTTCATCATTCGTACTGACTGATATTCATTCCAAATATGTAGGTAATAGGTGTAGCATATTAAGCAATACAAAATCGTTAGTGACTGAAATGAAGTGAAGTTTTTTTTTTTAAAAATTTACGCCCCAAGCTCCTTGGAGGTCTTTGGTTCTTGGAAAGTGCAAAAATTCGCAAATGAGAATTTAATGTTGCTGGTTTTGCCTACTAAAAATAATTGGGTCTGTAGATCGTCACGTATGAGCTATTATTCCAAAATAAATACAACTTTAAAATCCCTATAAACTGTACCATAAGGAACTGTCTTCCTGTCTTACAGTGATCGTCGCGAGCAGAAGGCGTATCATAGGCAAAAACTTACCTTTTCAGGTGTGATTAGTAATGGAACAAATTTAGCCTTCAAAAAGTAATCAAGTATTCAAGTATTAGTATTAAAGAACGTCTCTAATGCGTTTAGATGGTTCGGAGCGCATAAGTACAATCGCAATTGCGGTAAATATGAGAGAATTACTGGAAGGGATCCATGAGAAATCAAAGAGGAGTTTAGGGTTTTTCTCCGAACTGCTCACGTTATGAACAAAAGAAGCCTTAAGTTAGTTCAAGTCCAAATCTAACGCGAACTAGGTAACCGCTGACAAGGAATTATAAGCATAAGCACCTAGACATATCTATTCCAACATGACATATTATCAGAAATAAGGCAATAAGTAATGAAAGTGATGAGGTGAGAGATGCGAGTACACCAATAATAGGTATTTCATTAAAATGTGAGTTACACAATGAAGAAACCAAGTAAGATGCTCTTATGCATACGAAGGATGGTTTAATCATAAGTTGAGCTATAAATAAAAACGTGTTTTTAGGATGCGAAGTACTATGGTCTTTACTACAGTTGAACATCGAAAGGAATCCATTGTAGACCGTACATTTAAATGCTGATTCCAATATTACTGGACCCCTCAATGCTCACCTGCATAGGTGTCGAGAAATTTGCTGTGTACCTTAAAGCGTTCAGCCCCACGGTCGTGAAAAACACCGAGTCGCGTGAGAGGAGCAAAGGCCTGCGAGCCAGGCTGCGAATATTGCTCGATTTTGTCCGGTTTCGGTGGTTTATTCTTTCGCTCCATGACGCAGAGCATCTTTCTAATCGCTGCATCACCATTAACCAGTTAATAGTAAGGACTCCACGCAATTGTCAATCCATTAACATTATTACTAGTAATTCCTTATAAGAAGATGCAGGAAATTGCACTCATTCACCTGATGCATATTCGGTGCGAATTTTCTCAATAATCTCAGACTTCTCCTTTTGTCGACGGTTCCAACGTCGGTCAACTCGCCTTGCATTCATTACCTGACGATTTTCCTCCCGAATACGGAGCAACTGAGCTATTACTTGCAGACGAATCTCCTGTAATCTGGGAGTTCATAGAGGAATGACTATTTTATTTATTTGTCATCCACAGAATTGCAAATATTATGAGCGCTAAACACAAAGCATACCTTACTCAACTGTAAAGCTTAAAATCTATGCAAGTTATTTACAAATAAGGAAACATTTCCGATCTGGTTGCATTTATCTATCGTTACATTGTTGGGAAATGGAAAATGTGATGGGTTGCACAACAAAAGTTGACTGTAAGTAAGGATTAAAGAAAAAGGCAAACCTACGAGAAAAGATAACAAAGATAAATCGAGAATAAATAGTAGCTTGACAAACGAAAAATATGCTAAAAGATTTCTGTGTATTTAGAAAGGTAACACTAATGGTACTAACTGGATGATTTCCTTAAACCAAGAGGAAGCTTCGCCCATGAGATCTCAAAGGTGTAATTAGATTCCAAAAACGGAACTCCTAATAATATCAATGCATGCAAAATCCCAACACTACGATAATTCACAAATGCTGACTTGCATTCAGTAGAAAAAATTATCACTGAAATGATACGCTAGTTATTGTGATAAAATGATAGAGGTGTTCGAAATCATAATTAAGTTCGCACCACATGCTGTCTATTTCAACTGCCTTTTTCGTCCATACAGGCGGATAGTTCAATTCTACTCAATGATTCAAAAGATTTTTTCAAAATTAATTCACATGTATGAATCACTGTTCCCAGCACGGAATATTCATCATAGTTTGGTGCCATTCATTTCCTGCTGTCGAATCAACCGCAAAAGAGGATGAAATTTGGTTCAGTGAATAGTGTAACAAAATAACAGAACCCACATTAAAACGTGTAGTTTATAGAAACCCAACTCGCCACATCTCGAAACGATAGCATAAATTACAGCTTAGAACCAGAGGTAGACAATAGTAAATTGTCGCAAATGTATTAATAAAATGTTAAGTAGATAAAAGAATAAATTACGTCTCAATTTCACGTGCCCTGTAGCGCCATTCATCCAGCTCCAGTTTGCTCCTCAAACGGGTTCGATAAGCTGAAAGGAGGTTGTCCATCTGGGCCTCCACAAGGCGCCTCTCTTGGGCGCGTTCGATTAGTTCTACCACATTTTGACTAACCGGCAGCCCACTGCCAAAATCCAGATGCGCCAAAAGCAAAACTTTTGGATTTTGGCCAGGAGGAATGACGTATTCTGGTGAATAGGGATCCGTCTGTGCCTCTGAATCGCGGTACTGCGTTTGTATGCCACAATCACGTCTTTCGCCGTTAAGGCAGTGCGAATAATTGAATGCGTTCAATTGGCAAGTTGCACTCTCCAGAGCGGCCTTTAGGTAAAATTCCTTCATATTCTGCAAAAATGTTTCTAGATTGTCATTTAGAAATAACATTGTTCACAACTTGTATTAGTTATTGTTAAAAGACAGTAAGTCAATTTCATTGTTCTGTACATCTAATCAGTCAAAGCAATAATAATGTGGAAATTAAGCCGTAATTTGTAGTTTACAAAATATATGTACTCCTATAGCACAAGACAAAACCTAACAAATTTAGTACAAATTATTCCTAAATATCTAGTGACCAAATAAACTAATAAAAGATATTTAAAGGGGTGGAATATTCATACGGTCGGCCCCACTTCCAGTTTCGGTAAGCCACAATATTTCACATGATAACCTCCGAGTGCGGAATAGTGTGTAAGGAATTTGAGTCTAAAGTAATTGTTGTATACTCAAATTACTTCAAATCATGAACCGCTGTTCGCTCTGCAGCATCGAAGCTGACACCGACATTGTCAGCAGGCGAGTATCGGGGTAATTTCACGCCCTTAAAAGACCTCTGAGATTCCTTTTTGCTTAAAGCTCTGTGAAAAATCGGTCTTTTGATATGTTCCCGGGGCGATACAATGATCCCCAGTTTAGCTCGCTCATGGTCCACAGCAGAAGAAAAGCTGGTAGATGGGCCTAAACTTTGCATTACATATTTGTGGACTTACCATAAGTTGAGCTACCTGGTCCTTTTACCTTACTTTGCTCTGTGAACATTCGCACCTTTGTACTCATGATCTCACAGTGAACTGTTGCTACAAGACACTGGAAAATTGAAAATTCCAAGGTCATCATTTTTACAACGTCAATTAATTAGTACAATGGCGGCTACATTGCAGTAACTTATTGTTGTTTGTGCTATTCTACTTTGCCTACTGAAAAAAATTTAAATAATGAACATTCAAATTATATAGCCTTTTCTATCTAAAAAATGGGTGTACTCGTTCCAAATCACGGTAACCCATATGTTTTAAACACAAGTACCTTGTCCTTCTGTTTTTTTCTTAATTTCAAACGCACGAACACTTTCGCCAATGAGATTTTGAGGTTAGTGTATCACTGAATTTCAGGAACAGACTATAGAAATTTGCCAAACCTGTGCGATTTCTAGCAGCATCCTTCAATCCCATTACCAAATTTTTTCTTCCAAGAACACTGCGTGCAATCAAAAGCAACATTAAGATGACCATGAAAAAAAAACACCGAGTAATGCCAAGTTTTCGCAGTTTTTTGGTAAGATTACCACTTTGCCTCCTCATGGTTGCTGTGCTTTAAATTTGACTGGGCAACGTCTAGAAATGTGTAATCCGGAACATCTGGTTCATTCTTTCCTTTCGTTAAAATCGCTGGAGTCACCTCATCGTACACGCTCATCCGTGTAGCTTCTTTTTTGGATTTGTCATCCTGTCGAACCGGACGTTCTTCACAGGTTATTAAATTAACAAGACTTGTTTGCAGTTCTTCGTAGAATTTAACCTCTTCTTCCTCCTCCTTAGCAGACTTGATTTGGTAAATGTTTCCTGTGCGAAGCGCGGCGCTTTTCCTCTTCCGCCAGCTTGGTCGGCTGTCGTGACGTCGTTTGCAGCGCCGTCGTGCAAAGCATGCCTTTAAGAGGCGAAGAGAATCTTATATTAAGAATGGTAAAGCAGTATTCTACACATGCATTAAATAGACATTTCTAGCTATTCAAATTAAAACACACCTAAAAGTTTCCTGCACACATGGAATGCTACAAATTGGCCGCAAAAAATTGAAGTTTCGAGATAAACTTATGGACAAACGGTTTTGCTCAACTGCCAGTTACTTACGACTTTTTGGCAGTCAGCAAATTCTATTCTTTCAGCTCGTAAAAACCGAATGTTAAATGCTTGGAAGGGAGCTGGATTTTAGTACTGAATTCCTCTAAGTTCAACAGTGTGTGTCGAGCTGATACCGATTTGTAAAAATGACTACTTTCTGCAGTATTACTTGATACTAGGTGTGTAACGCATACACATTCTTTATCATTTGTGTATATTTAAATCACTTCGGATCCGAATATGGTATTGACGGAATCATTAAGAATTAAAGTGTTTTAATTACTATCTTCATCAGTTCTCTACCACCTGAGTAACGCGGAAACAGGCAAGGTAGGCTTTTTTGAACCGCAATTTTTTCCTAATTTCCCTTATAGCCACAAAATCAAATATTCAAAAAGTGGCCTAAAATTGTTCCAAAAAATGTTGTCTGAAGTAAATAAGTTCATTGTTTTTATATAAATAACAACACACTGTTAAAATGAGCATTTTATCTCCAGAATTTCTAAAAAAATATTCAAAATACCAGAAATTTCATAACCTATAGCTACACAACTGAATAGCTGATTTTGGGTAAAATACTGCCTTGTATACACATTTGGATGGTTAAATGCTATCAGATGGTTGAGGCTAAGAGACCGACCCTATGATAGAGGTCTCTCAGGTGTTGGTTGATCCATTTCAGCAACCGGTTGACAATTGTTTTTCGCCGGGATGCATATATTGTTCTTCGGCTGCCAATACCGAGTATGAAGGTGACCACTGCACCCATCATTGCTAGAGCTAAAGCGACCAGGATCATCGAGACAATTTCCTCAATAGAGAAGGTCAGATGAGTTATTTCCTGGAAGAGATTAAAAGGTTTTCTTATTGGTAAGAAAGCACTATTCAGTTGATTTGCATTAGTTGATTAAATAGCATAAAATTGGGCTTCAACAAACCTTAAAAAGACTCTCCGCTGTCTCTTGCTCTCGCAGTTTGAGAGGATCAGGCGCCAGATGCTGTAGTACTTCCTTCTCAGTGAGGGTGATATCTATCTGATCATCATCAAAATTCGCTTCATTTTTTGCAAGTCCTTGTAACACCGAGGGGACCAAGTTGACCGCTTTATGAGCCAGACGCTAAAATTACGCAAATTTGGTATGTGAATGTTCAACTCACTTTTTCTGTCGATCAGTTTGCTATGCATCTGGTTAGAAAAATGTGTTTTACCATCCCTTCTATTCAGCGTTGTCCCACTTACTTCCCTGCAAAAGTTGTTAGGTCTATAGAAACAGCCCACCTATGACCTTTCAAGCGGCTCGATCTCACGGAGACAACTAGCGTGGTTAGTGATGCTTCAGCCCTGGCGAAAAATTGAAATGCTCCTGTCATTTCGCCCACAGCTGTTTCTATATCCTTTGAAAATTCTCTCAACTGTTTACCTTCCAAGTGATACGGAGTGGACAAACCATGACATTATTAGGTGAGGTGAATCGAATATTGGCGGAAGATTACCTCACTGCTCAAGCCTCTATACTCCCATTTAGATAAGCACCCAGTAGTCTTTTGACTGGCATATCTCCTTGTAAGGTTAACTTCTAGTTCAACTCAAATAAAATAAATCAGAAAGCCAAATTCTATAGGCGGTAATGTAAACACTGTGGCACAACAGAGTAGACGTTGATGTGAGAATTAACGACGCCTACTTCACGTTCTCTGTCAAGCTGAGGGTTGGTGCAGTGTATGGAGGATCGGGCAGGCAGATGTTGCGTCGTGTTCCGCACATCTGGACAGGGCAGACACTCTTCCGAGGCTGTGTCCGGATCCGAGAACGTATCTTCGGGGCAGGGCTCACACTACATTAAAAGATTCATTTCCTTAGAGAACTAAGATCCGGTCAAATCGACTCAATCCTGAGAAAAGTGTAGGCTTTGCCATTTCAAAGTTAAGACTGATAAAAAAGAGAAGTTTAAAAATTCCCTTAAGGCTTGTGGTGCGTGAAGTAGCAGTGAGTCTAGTCTAGTACTTTGTTTTTTTTACAGCAATGATTCACAATTCTACTAAAATAGAAATGTAATAGCGACCTTAATTTTGTTCGTAAATAAGGCAGGAAGTTTTGAATAAAAAACAAAGTTAGTTTACTTAAAATGTTAGATGATCTCAGTATTTGCGTAACGAAAACCGAATTCCTCATTTTGACAATAAAAAGAATAGCATAAGCACACAATCCTTATTACTGGTCCACGTCGGACAAAAACGTACTAATTTCGCTTTGGTATCAGCACACGCTTAAGGCATGGTACAAAAAATCCTTTTTGAAAGATTGGATTATATTTAATGAACTAACTCTTCCTTCGGTAGCCACTATTTGCGGTTTTAACCGCAATACAAGTCATCGTCGTTAAGTGATTCAAATGCATGTCCATCCATAAAGGCAATAGAATTAAAAATTTTCACTTCACCGGTTTCACCGAATTCTGCTGGATATTTTTGAAGATTACCAATTTCATCGAAAAAGCAAAACTTCACGGGTGCTAACTGCATACTATACAATGTTTTACCCCTCGCAATATTTTAACTTTACATCAGAGAGGATTCACGTTGAATTTTTATTTTCTGTAAATCCACACACACGGACTGATTTTCTCTATGATCGCTTCTTTTTCGCTAACCTTGTGTGGAGGTACTTTGCTCAAAAAGTAACCCGGCGAACAGACACGAGAATGCGACCTCGGCTCATTGGCTCCGATGGATTCCACTACGGACTCACGACAGCCTTGGAAAACTGGATAAACATACAACTGAATGAGATCCACTCCCGTCTTCCATTCAGCAACCTTCACTCGACAGGTAGGACTATGACAGAGAAAAAAATATCGAGACAATTATGGTAACGAATTATTAATTTTTTTGGTTTTGGAGGTTATAGCTCAATGCCATGGAGGCGCCATCGTCGCATCTTTCTGGACTTCATAAAAAGTGTGTTATTAACTTTGGGAGAGGATGAAATTCGTTTTAATCCAGGTACTACTACGAGGTTTATTAACTCCTCCGATATGACTTCTCCATTGGTACAATGATGATTAAATGGAATATGCTAATGGTGTTTCTACCTTCTGGAATATTAACAATGAAACAATTCAAACTCATATATTTTAGCCGCACCCGTCAGGAGTAACTTGATCCGTTATATCGTTGCTAATGCTGGGAAGTGCTGAGTTCTCCCCGCCTCCTGCGGTGAATGTGTATGTCTTTTCAAAATACTTTAAATATGACTTGTTTTCGAACATCCGACTAGTCTATGTATTTTAAAAGCTCGAATGAAGCGTAAATTGGCAGTGAGGGAAAAAAAATACGATAATTTACCTCATCAGAAACAGTAATGAATCCTCCTGACACAGTAGGTTACCAAATCTCTGCAAATTTATTCTGTTGAACCACTTTTCTGAAACAAAATTGTCGTCTTGAAACCTGGTCTTTCTGGGTAAAATATTCTCATTGTAATTAGAGATCGCTCCACTATATTACCCATGTTAAGGCTGAGTATCTCGTTTATTGTACAATTTTATGGATAGACCCTTATATGCTTTTAAAGAAATGCGACTCCTTATCCTCACAAATACTTATTAAATGGGAAATGTCCCTTTTTGAAAAACCCACTAATAAATTGCCCAGTCGTTAATAAGCGAAGCATGCTACGCTGAAAGATCCTGGGACGAAATTGTACACATGCGGTTGGTTTGTGTGGAAAACTCAACTATTACATAGCCATACAACTAATTTTGGAACAAAAAATTACTAGTCCAATTATCTTGTAAAATACCTTGTGCGTGTATATTGCCGTTGCATGAAAGAACCAATTCTAGGGGTGGGAAAAAATAAGGTTACGTATTAGACTATCTCTGTTGATGGCGCATTGCACTCGACTAAATTGAAATAGGAACCTACTTTTAGAATCGTAAACTTTCCAGGTTTGAGCATAGAGGAAGATGAAAGTGGAAAAGAGGCATTTTGATGAAAGGATCACCGCCTTACCTGGCCCATTAGTCACTAAATTTAGTGGTAAAATCACAGTTGTCGTTAAAATAAACAGACATCAGCCATACTATCGCATCTCAATTCCTAATAATACATCAAAGTAATTTCATCGCTAACTCATTTTCCTCCTCTTTTTTATTTTCTAAAAGAAATTAGCTTAAAAGATTCTTATACAAGAAGAAATACCTAAAGATATACCAGATTTTGAAATGTTTTATGCCAGTGTAAATGCCTTACATTGAGCATTTGCATCTATTGTCTGCGGAATGGACATCCTGGGATCGCAAGGCACAGGCTTTTTCCCTAAAATTAAAAATCTACACGTATGCTGGAGTTGGATTCATTAAAGCTGGAATGAAAACCTATTCTGAAGCACACATTCTTCCGGGGCAAATGTTTTAATGGCTTTCGCGACCAGACATAAATATTTACGACAATGTGCTAAAGAGATGCCAATTTAGGCAATTGAAGAGAACAATGATACGAATGACTTGAGGCTGCCAGAACGTAAAAGTTGGTCACATTCTGATACTAGTGTAGTGATGAGCATTCTATTAACTGTGCAACCACTTCAGTCCCTCTAATTTTTACTTCTGTTCTACGTCATGACATCGGGATTAAGTGTTCCCTCAGCTCTTCTAAGAGTTTGGAATATATGCTCTTCCCCGTTGATTTACCAACTAGGTTTTCAGGGGAGACTCGAGGTAGTATACTGGATTGTCCCTTTTGAGGGCAGATGGACCGTAAATCAAGAATAAAGATTTAAAATTCTTAGATTATTTTAAGGAAACGTGCTAACCAATAAGACAAACATATTGCTGAGGATTGCTGTCCGCCTGTGGAGCGACTATGTACGCCTCAGCGCAGACTGATTGACATAGGCGAAAATCGGCAGAATAAAAGAACCTCCTGTGAAGGAAGAAAATGTCTTTTGCTCATATTTCCTATTTGCAACTTTTATTTCCTAAATAATCAGCTAATATGGTGATTTTATCTAATTCTCCTCAAACATTTATTTCAGAAACTAACATATGACTAGCATTAGGGGTGTTGTTTGAAACTTTTCACAAAGTGCAAACGAGGTTTGTACAAAAAACCTGATTCTTTTAATATCAATTACAGACTTATTTACTGGTATTCAGTGCAAATTTGGAAATTGGTGGTTTGATAAATGTGAGCCACTGTCGAGGGAACAAATGGTATTTGATAATAATGATGGTTGGAATTATAGTAATGATATTGTTTACCTACTTCGTATCATTTGGAAAGTAAACAGGCATTGAGGGGATTTTCGAAGGATCCACAGATGGAGGTGGATGGAATGATGGAAGCAATGCGGTTTTTCGACAGGGCTGAGATATCATCGACCACGCCAGTTGTGTCCTTGACACTGAGCCGCTTGACAAGTCGTAGACGGGCCAGTTGTAGAACTGATATTTATTCAAGAATAGACCCAGTTACCCATAAATAGTTGGCAGAGCAAAAATGATTAGGATTTACATTTAAAATAATAACGGCCTTGTAAACTTTTGTAGTGTAGTGTCAGCATGAACGGTAGATAGTTTATACAAAAAAAGTAAGGTCAGAAATTATTATTACTTCAGTAACTTGCTAATGGCTACTAGTGTGTGAAGATTTATAAGTTGAAATCGTAGCATTGCAAAGTATATAATATTCCTCTTTATGAAATATTTGTTACCACAGAATAGATAACGTTATTGGGATTGGGTACTAGTTAATGTTACTAAAGTTGTATAGAGTTAGCATTTGAGATTTGTAAATAATTTTTTGAATGCTGTTTTTACGACTGTCCGTAGCCCCAAAGAATGCTTTATTTTGGCACAGAATGTTCTGTAACGTTTTATAGAAATCCGTACTCTTCTTCGGTTCCCTAGACTGGCCAATGCCTAAGCTGGTCAGACGACAGTGGCTTGTCCGCACGTCGTAGCCCCAGCTTACGCACACTCATCGGCAAATAAAGACGTGCATTTAGCGGTCAGTGTCACCCGATTACCCGGGTTGGAAACCCGGCAGAATCCGAGCTGTCACACACATAGATACCAGTTCGCAACATCTACAGTGTTTGTGCTAATAAATGCAGATCGTGTTCAACAAAACATTAACACGGTTCTTAAAAGTGTTTTCTTTCCAAAACAGTTGTCACGGCCGAGATCCAGATTTTAATTAACTATGACTTTTACAAGTCTATTCTTTCGCAGGTGAAAGATAATAGAGCTGGCCTCATTAAGTAGAAGCCCGTTATCGAAGTGGCGAAATTTTATTCTTGTATTATGTTAAAACAGTTAACTGGGATTTGGATGTTGTATAAGTCTACGCAGACTAATTACTTCATCTTTTTTGGTTCACAGCACAAACACATTCTGTGATTAGTTAAAAGCCTTATTTACCCACTGTCATTATTTGAATTAGGGAGATATTTTATTATTCAGTGCGAAAATAAAAAGTGCAATAGTTGCTAATTTGCTTTCCACTTTTGAACCTATTATGGAAAAGTAGTAAGCATTGTCTAGCGATATCTCAGGTTGTGCATTTCCATTAGCGACTTTCTTGTATCTGCCAAAATCATCTAATGCTTATTTCTGCCTATTTTGTGAGCAGAGAGCGTAAGAATTTAATGAAAATTACGCTGTCTTTTATTTTTACAAGCATGACCCTTACTACCCTCCATGAGGCAAGCATTCATCACAAAACCGCCTCAAGCATTTCTATACTGCTTTATACTCTTAGTAATAAATATGGAGTCTATTATTATCATTCAAATCCAGAATTATGATATCTACGTTTTGTGTTTTCCAATAATTTGCCTGAAAACGTCTGAAGTTTTCAAGTGGCATGAATGACCCTACTCTGACAATGATGTCGAACTTCGCGCTCCGCGTCTCGATAAAAGTGCTAGCAAAAGCCGAAAACTCAGTTGCCTGCACGAAGGCTTCCGACGGTTGCTGCATTTGTGGAAGGCTGTAGGTACCCAAAACTATAAGACGACCATCCTGAAATAATCGGAGGCGTCGATCAAAGGTGCCGGTGTAAAGAGAGAATTCGGGTCCGTCAAGAATGAGAGCGAATGAAGATGACGACTCGTTGAGTAACATTTGGCTCGGGAGAATGTAGACTGAGTGAGCTAACACAGTGTTTAGCCTAACTTCCATAGACAACTAAAAAGAAAGATAAAATAACTCCTTAAAGTCCTGGAAAGTAATTCAAAGCTTGATTTTGAACGAAGATTGTAAAGAAGAGGTTCATAATCTCGAAGTGTAATGAAAAAACCTGCTAAGTTGAAACGTTACTTTGCTGTCTCAGTGTGCTTTCATACCATCAAGTAATAAGGGAAAATAAGCAGCGCGTCGCAACACAGTCCTGAAGCGGAAAGCTAATGATTATTAAGAGCTTTTTTAAGACATGAAGTGGGAAGAAGTGGTTGATTCTTTGGTAGCTAAAAATTTGGAACGTAATGCTTAACAAAAATATGAATGTAGACCATCTCAGCTAGCAGAATAGTCTCCCGTATTCCGATCAGCTCAACCATCAACATAAATTTCTTCCCGTATTTAGATCCACAGTAGGCGATAATTCTTAATATGTGACAGTGTCGCTTTTTGATATAGAAATTCCTGTCTTCAATAAAAACGGGAGAATTGTTATACGAGAGCAAGCATCGACTACACAGAATGGGGTATTCTCTGAACAAATTGTCCATAAAGACGCTCCGCTAACCGTGCAATTGGTATCTCCGCATTTGATGATCATGCGCACAAAGGACATTTCCGCCGAGTTGACAGCCACTTGAAAATCACGCATACGGAGTTGGGGAGTAGACTTTGTCGGTGTGAAAGGCTTCCTCCGGCGGATGGACCACATAAAAGTCAAGCCGCGGAAGGGATAGATGGGCGGTCTTGAGGGTAAGCGACCTAGAAGTTTTGAAGTTAAATGGCTGTTTCGATAGCCATACTGTCAAATTTGTTTAATTTGACTAGGAAAATGACTATGATCTTGGTTAATGAGACACAAATCCTGACAAACAGACTGGTTGGAAGCTTAGAAGATTAAGAAAGCATTACATTAGAAGGAATAATTTAACTATATTAGGCATCTTATTTTCCTACCAAACAACACAGGCAGAAGAGACAAATAATGAAGGTACTTTTAAATTTTTTACTATACACATCACTAAACAGCATACTGGTGTAGGAAATGTAACCAGCAAAATGCGCTCCTTTACCGTGTATTTGTACATAGACTTAATTACATCCAGTGTATGTTTGGTCTAACCCTCTCCAGTGATTCCCTGTTTCCATGTCGTACCTCAGATGGTACCCATTCTTTCGGCTTTTAGCAAATCAGTATAGGTAGAATAGCTTAAATTTTGAGTACAGGTAAGGGCAAATAGAATGAGGTGATGAGTCCAGGCGCAATGTTTTGCTATTTGCTGAAAAAAGGGCACTTTTGGTGACAAAGGTCCTACAAAGTTGCGATGCTCTACAAATCGCGCTAACTATTGAGATTGCATTCATTCCATCAATCTAACTTTTCAGCGGTACTTTTGAGTGATCACTCCCGGTGAGTCTCATTAGATGGGCGGTTTTTTCAAAAAGAAACTTAGTCCTATACCATCATGGCAACGATTTTTTTCCAAAATGACTCAGTTACTACGTGCTCTAGACCCTCTATCAACTTGCACAGGATCCTGGAGAGAGGGAATGGTGAATACCTTGGACTCGAGATGTTTCCGTGGTACTTCTAGTGCAAAACACGGGAGCAAAGTAGACCTGGTGAGGTTTGTCCTGCTTTCTACAATGACAAAGAAAGTTGAACAATAAAGTGGTAGGACTTAACTCTATAAATTGGGCCACGCAATTATGTTGACGTTATAATGCTTTGATGCCTTGTTTAGCTTTGTGTTTGATTACGTGGGCACCTAAGTCGTCACAAATTGTACTTTTGCTCAGCGATGTGGACTCCCGGCCATCCCGGTAGCCTCAGCTGTCCTGTACGTCACTACTACAAACTCTGCCATACTACTATGACTTACTAGACAATTTCGGGGAAGACCCAGGGTGCGAAGCTAATATATCAGGGTGGGAGTCTGGTAAATCACAATTCCCCTACACCTTACTGGCTGCTCTTCCATGATGTCTGATCCTGATGCCACATAACGTTGGAAGTCTTTTTTTTGATGAAATATAAGTGCATGTCAAACATTTTCAACTAACCTCCAAAGGGACGTGGAGAGCAGCGAAGAAAGGTAATAGAGTTCTGTATTTTTCTTCCATGCACGTGGATAGGGAAGATTTGTCTCGTAATTTTTGGTGATTACAACGTCAAAGAGGTTTGCCAATTTGCTGCAACTCAGCTAGATATTTATGAAAACATTTTTTTCATGAACAAAACTACCACTTCATAGATATTCATTACAACTAAAATTTTTTTATAATTTTTTGTCAACTTTACGGAATCGCCAGGTCAAGAAATGATAAATCTATCTTAATCCATTAATGTAAATATATGACGCGAATTCTTTTAAGCGATCTGAACAATGGAAGCCACGACCGGTCGAATCCTGCTTGAACACAGTAAGAAAGTTATCTCATTATGACACACATTCTCTGTCATCCGGTAAAACAGGCTTTTACCATTGAGGAGGAGCTTGTAACTTTTGCTAGTACCACAAAAAGACCCCAGAAAGACTAATGCAGGTACATTAGTAACTATGCCAAAACATCGTAAAAGAACAGCATCTATTGTGAATAGCTGAATTCATAAAGACTCAGCAGAAAGGCTGTCAAAACCGAAACCTCAGCTCCCTTTCACAAACAGACTTGAAATTAAAACAGGATAGCCTAATACCGCACTGTTCGGAGTGTCCATAACTGCAAAAGGACATTTCCATGTAAACGTCCAAGGTCATTTTCGAGACTTGGTTCCCAGACTTTCTCCATGACCTTATAAACACAACGAGGTCAAGGTCATTCGAAATGATAAAAAACCATGGGGATGGCGACCATCCTGGATCTCCAACAATGCAATTAGTATATGTCTATGCACATGCCATACCTTCCGTTTGCGTGCATTATTCCGAAGTGTTGTCTTTTGATTACTCGGGTTGAAATCTCGACAGTACCAAAACTCGCACAAATATCGGTGTATTAATGCACTAAACTGAAAGGATATGGCGATAACCCGAATGGGCGTCTAGACAATGTAAAAAAATGGTAGACATTTGAAATGCAGTATGACCTTTCAATATTAGGGAAGTTCTTAAATACAACGCCCGTTGATTATTAAGAACCGGAAGTTCATTTTCAGCTCTCCTAAAAAAACTGCTGCACAGGGTGGATGCAGAAGTGTAATCACAAGGTTGATTTTATAAACAAGATAGACGCAAAACAATTCAGTGGTATTTATTCATTCCCCAACATGATCCCTCAAGCTTTGCTCAACAGATCTAAGTGCCTTCACATTACACCTCCATGCCGGTTAAGAAGGACATTGATTACGCATCTTCGGCCTTCCGTAGGAATAGGGAGATCATATTATCAAACCTTAGATTTGGTGACACTTAAGATTTGTGGAAAGACTAACGTTTGTCAAGCATAAGTGCCACAAAGACTGCCCAAGACTCACGGATGGATGAGTGAATTCAAACCGCAATGTCGGCATCCATTGGAACATATGCAAAAACGGATTTTCCACTGTGTCCCCCATTTCATCTCGCCAAGGTTCGCTTTCTTCCTTCCTACCTTCGTTGTTCGTTTCTGAATTCAGAACTTTTCCATATCCATCCAACACTATTATTGTAAAAAAAATGTGCATTCTTGACTCTCCACTTGCTAAACTTGGCTCAAACAGGGCAGCAGTCGCTGTGGCTGCAAATAATTGAGTTTCATTGCCTGCTGCTATCAGATAGAACTCATATTGGCTTCAATAGATAAGAGGACTCGAGTTTATTTATTAACTTTTTTGATTAGTTTTTGTTTACCTTCACTCCACTTTGTCCAAAACATCACTATTATCAGCTAGTTACTGTACTTATCAATGAATGCTCAGAATTAGCTTACTTTATGGCAAAGATGTTAGTTCGTTCAAAGTAAAAAGCTTCACTTGTTAGAGGTTAATTTTTATGAAATGGGAAATGCGTTACCTATGGAGGTACCGTTCCTGTAGAGGATATTGCGCACAATGTTGACCTCGCAAAGATGCTTTGCACAAAACAATCTTGCCCCACTTAGAAGTGTCTGTTGAAGGTATGGAAGCTGCTGCAGTTCTTCACCTGTAGTCATCTGAATTGGAGAAGGTTTAAGGAACACATTCAAGCAATTTGTGCATTGCTATTTCTAGCGCTGCGGACGTGGACATTTAAAAAGCTTATAGTGTTTTGCATTATACTGTTCGATAAGAGAAACCTGAGTCACTGCTACTTTTCAAAAAAATGTTGCAGAAAAAGCTACTACCTCCTTTGTGAAGAAACCAGACTGATTTTAATGTTATATACTCTCTAACTCAAGTTAGAGTGGATTATAGACTTCGTTTCGCCACTAAATCTTACTGACATACAATTTACTTATTCTGTGGGCTCGATAGGTCCCAAGAGGACAAAGTTCTTCAGATACTTGCCAAAGAACAGCACAAACTTCTACACGATGGCTGATTGTGTGCCTTGAACGAGCACTCAGGTGCTTTTACCCGTGTCTCCCCATCATTTTTAAGTACTCATCCAGCAGTAAACAAAGTTGTCGCCTACATCTACTTTAAAAAGCGGTTTCAGGAATTTCCCTTTATACACTGTGGTTACAGTTGTAACTAAATGTGGCAAGGTTTCTGGACTCATTTCATCCAAATTTCTTAATCTACTCATGGGACTGTGGGAGAACGTTAGCTCCATACTGAGTAAACACTCCAGTAGAGGTACATATCCTTTCTATCGCCCTCAACCTCCTGCCGTTTGCTAAATTTTATAGCCATCTTCACTTCAGCGTGACAACCCTTACTAGCCAGCACGACAAAGAGAACTAGTTACATTGCTGTACAGACACAATTTACTTTCCTTCTTTCTCCACGGTTCCAAGGCAAATTCATTTTGTAAATATGTATTTTGCACACTTTATAACTTTTTACTAAGTCCTTCAGTGATGTGTTTGCCGACAGTGAAGGCAAGAAACATACCCCGTGAATAAATATGCCAGAGTTGTTGTTATGGAGCTCCGGAAGATGCACTCTTCTGTTCAAATTCTCATAGCAGGCTTTCATTTCTCGATCACCCTGCCCAAATACGTGACTACAACCTGAAAAGTTGGTCGAAAGGAAGAATGAATCAGTGTCATCTTAGACATCAGAAACAATGAGAAAAATGTATAAAAAAGGGAAATTGTTAGAGTGAAAAGAATTTAACAGGCCGTTAGTTTTAGTACCAGGTGGAAAGGGATCAAGCCCCGTAGTCTCGAAGGTGATTTCAACGAGATAGGTCTTGTCATGTGGAGCGTTAACCTCCTCGTGGGGAATGTGGATTTCGTGGATTTCGTAAAAGGAGGTGCCTCGCTTAGTCTTCGGATCTGGTGGCTCCTGAAGCACGCAGACGAAGAGCATCTGCAAGACATTTCTTTACGATTAGAATTTTACGCCAAAACTGTTCGTATTGTGGATGGAAAAACTAAAGGGCGGTGGGATGATACAAAAATGTCTTGTATAAATTAGCATGAATAAAAGATTGCGTGTAAGAAATCTATTTGAAAGGGAGTCCTCTAACGGTGATTTCGTTAGTCTAAGTAAGCGCTCATGTGAGTGGCAGAAGTGTAGCTTTGCCTCTTGAAGATATCGCAAAATTTTAAGGGTTGAATTTGTCAAACGAAACTTGAAAGATACTGATGGTTATTTCTGTTGGCAACCATAGAAGTACTTAACGGTTACTTATCTTTAGACTGTACAAAGCTTTGATATCTGCCCAAATTATGTAACAAATGCGATTACTCAGAGGCAAAACAGCATTGCATTTCAAACTATGTGAGACTATAACAACTCTATTGCCATCTCCCTGCATGTTTTGTTTGAAATCTCCTAATTCCTCGAAATCAACGGAGTCTTGACAAAGTTTATTATTATTAACACGAAGTTTCCCTAGTACCTCCCAATCGATTTCGCATAGAGCTTAGTGAACAAGGAGTAACTTATAAAAAAAGTTCCGAGTTTATCTTTCTTAACACTTGTTGGGGGTAGTTAACTACTGAAACTGAACCGAAAACCTACTATCTTCATTGCCAATTAATCAAAAATTTCAAAGACCTAAAACCAGGTATTTTTGCTTCGGAACAAACATGCCGAATGGAAGCAACCACGTGACCAAGTGGTTCCAATAAATCTTACCGATTCACGCGTCCAGTCAATTTTAGGTGGTATTTCTAACGCATACGTGAAACGATCAACCTTCAAGCCAATTTCCTCAACTCGTCTATAAGTTAAAAGCAGTAATATCCAATTAACAGATAGAAGATAAACCAATGATAATACTTTAGAAGCTCTATTAATACATTAACCTTAGTTAAAAGTCACTTAATATGGAGTACCTTGACAGCATTCTGCGCTAGTCAAGAAAATAAATTGCCCAGTATGCCGTTAAATAGCTTACACAGTGTAATTCTAATTCCCAGTTTTTTAACTAGTTGAAATTCTTACAAATCGTACCACTCTGCTAATAATAAACTTGTTGCATTATAACATAAGAACCTAATAATATATGTCCTGCTTTTTACAAAAGCGCAAACAGATAGGATTGTAATATGCATTTATTTTTTTCCATAGGTTCCAAATAACACAAATTCATTGATTCAACCCATTTTATTTTTGTAATTCTTAAAAAGACATCATGTAACTCATACTTTAAGTCAGCGAATTCGTCTTCGGCGATATACCATGTTCTTTTGACTTCGGTACTTCTTGAATAGAAATAGTCAGTTTTGCATGGAATACAATGGTGCCAACATGGAAGTCTCAAACCATTTTGAAATCTTTGTCTGCTCCAATAATGCTCCTGCTTAATGGGGGACGTCAGCAGTGTTGAAAATGATGATTCCCGATACATGGCAGAAACTGATACATATGAGAGTTCCTCTGACAATGGGTATATCTTATGTTGCAATTGCAGACTTTATCTTACTCGACAATGCCCACCTTGTGGCACCGTAAAAAAAGCAAATAGTAGTGAGCGCGTTAACGTATACAAAGTCGCCAGTAACGAGCCCATCTGAATTGCAAATATTAATGCACGAAATTAGGTAACTGTTTAAGACCTTGAATTCATTCAAACAAATAAAGTTTACATTCGGACAAAACCAACTACTCGAAACATTTACCCTTTAAAATTTCCTGCACTTTAACAACTTCCTTGTGGTTTTGCTTGGATGCAAGCACAGTGGAGTACCCACATGCTCCTCCCAGCAGTATGAAGAAATCCTAGATAGCCTTCCCTTCGACCAAGTGGAAGGCTGAGGGAGCACGCAAACCATGACCACCCCCCTTCCTCCGGGCTTCTAAAGCCCACGATACGACCTCGCTCGAGAGCCAGACGCCACACTTGACTACCCCACAAACCCAATACAGACGCAAGGCGATTTAGTGGAGTATACCGCTGTCCTGAAGCCAAAATAGGCATTACATGTTCACAAGAAATTAAAACTACAATCTCAGCAGAGGTTTTGTGCCCAGGATGGACAGACAGGTGCCCAGCGTATTGCGAGCCATCCGAAATATTGCTATCCGTGACTAAAACAAAAATATGACACTTTTAGTTGCATGAGCGCTGAGATGCGCCTCCTTAGGAAATTTAATTGAGGCTTACCAAAGCGAGCTCTTCCGATTCAGCTGTCAAAACGGGAAGAAACCGCCAAGCTCGATTAATGAGAGAGCTAAAAGTTGGACAGTTTGAGCGATAGAAAAGGGAAAAGGCAATGCTTGTGGTAAATGACGCAAGTGTTTGAAAACAAGAGTTCTGCATCTTCAATTTGGCATCGCAATGGCCAAAAGCACAAATGCTTAAGATTTTTGTGAATAACGCTCGCATCTCATAATCAAACAGGCTAACGTATTATTATGAATAAATTGTCCGGTTTAGAAGTGCAGCTTACGTTAGACGTGAGCAGTAGCGCAGCAACCCATCGGCCTCGTATTTGATATAAGCGTATGTTAATGCATCAGGCAAGCTGAAGGAAATTACACAACATTTTAAATTTTAGAGGTCAAAGGATAAAATCGAGCCCTAAATTAACTTGACCTAACAAAATTAGTATGACCTCATGCAGCCCCTAGTTATGGCTATTTTTTCTGAAAGGTCCTTTTAAACTCAAGCTCAATGTATTCAGAGATAACTCAATTTTAATAAAAATTATCAACCTGGTGCGCCACTACCCTACACAAGCCTCCGTGTGAATGGTGTTAGGGTGATAATACCACTTACACCCTAGCATAAGAAATGAGTGAATGGTGACAAGCAGGCACTAGTGATGGAATGCAGGTAGGCGTTTATAAAACGTACAGTGCAAGATGACCACAGATCTCCTCTTCGGTCTCCCGTGAAACGCGGTGTGGGGGAACATTATTGAGGGCGTGGAGGAGTTGTGAATTTATGGTTTCAGCATCACCGTTGCCTAAAAGACCCCTTGCAATCGCTTTTTCCTCCAGACTGAGAGGAAAAGATATTTTTAATAAATAGAAGAAGACGAGAGCAAGTAAGGAGGCCGACGGTGAAACTGACCTGGAGAGCCGAGCGTGACAATACTGCAGCCCAAGACCCGTGAGGTCTGGCGCCTCATCGACAGAGTAGGCACGACTGTGCAGGCACAGCTGGTCGCCTTGCCAACGCAAATTAAGGTACACGGGTTGCAGACGCGGCCGCCGCAGCATCTCCGCCACCAGCCACGTAACACCTAGATGGTCGGCGACACTCTCAAAGATCACTCCGTCACTTGGTATGATCCGCGTGTCTGAATAAGGAGGCGTTGGGCAGCAGAAAGCATACCAGAAATATTACGTTTCCCTTTTAGGTCAGCTGCGATCAGACTTCCATCAAAATGACAGGGACCCTGCTGCTAGACCCATATGCCTTGTGACAGCCTCAGCAACCACACAGGTGCCACTTCGATGGCAGTGCAATGGACCATGGCCAGCATATTTTAACCCTTGCGGGGAATAATGACAACTTTTGCTAATGCTTCAAAAAGGCCCTCTGTCTTAGTGGATTGGCCTGTTACTATGCGAGATGAAACGTGGGACGTGAAATCATGCTTGAACCTACGGAGACCCACAACAGAAAAGATATTCAAAAGCGACAATTTGTGCCAATTTTGCGAATAGAAAGTGACACATGTAGATTAGTAATGGAACGAGGTCTAAATTAAACGATTACGCCATTCGTAAAAAGGAATACATTCCCCAAACTAACGAATCTGAGAATCATAAAAATAAATAGCAATATTAAGTGGAATAGTACCCTCAATAATGTAATGAGATTGGATATTTCATTAAATATGTTTTACTTTTAAGGTAAGGATTCCTGTAAAAATTAAATAGTTTATGACATTTAGATAATACTTGCCAATCCTCGACAAACGAATCCCTGCGACGCAGTACGTAAACAGGCTACGACAAATGGAACTATCGAAATCTGTTCTGATCAAACTCCAAGAGATCATATGGACCATTCAAGAGCATACTTGACTAATAGCAGCACCGATACTGGTAATAATAAAAGCCAGTGAATGAATGTTTGTGATACGAGTAAACCCACTCGGCGAATGGAGCATTCTACGCCGAGCCTCCTGCTTTGCAGCATCTAAGATGTCTCTGAGGAAGAGACCGTTTCCGCGACGAGAACTAGCCCCATTGACTCGTGCAAAACGCACGTGAAGTGGCCATGGAGATGCGTTGCTGTGAGCAAGAAACAGATATTTTTAATGTCATATTGAATACAAGTGGGGTAATGGGTAACGATGAATTAAGACTGACAGTTCCGCCTCAGTTTACATCGCCAAGTATGGCTCGGGTGCAATATCAGATTCTAATCCCATGATTTAAAGCCGACGGAGGTAAATAACTAACGAATGGACAGAAATGAAGGAGTCGAAAATAGTAGTTCAATGAGTATTGAGAGCCTAACGTCATCCAAACAGCATCAGCCAAGACAATGCTTATAATACAGACATCTTTAAACCTGTGAGTTTTTACCAGTTACGGTATGCAACCAAGCAGTTTATTACTTTTGAGACGATGAGTATAATGGAATTGAGGAAACTTACGCTTTGGCCCAATCATAGCAAAGGTGGGTGAGTAAATGAGCCAGATTCAAGAAGTGCTCTCGTTGGCCATCTTCCACCTAGGTGAAAAAAAGGGAATTCCAAAGGAAGCATGCATGCCCTCTTTTAACAGTCTAAGCCATTTGAAACTTACAATATAGTGCATTCTGTCGAAATTGTAACGATTGGCACGAGAAATGGCTGCTGCTAGATCACTAGATGTATAAAGGTAAAAACAAAATACGTCGTGCTCCCACAAATTGTAATGACTAAACAAAGGAAAAGTCCCAAATAGAAAGGGATCTATGTAGTTCCAACTAGATGAATGCTTACTAAAAAATTGGTTCGAAAGGCATTTCTTGCCGGCACAAAGGTGACAAAAATGTATGAGAACGAGAGTAATATATTGTTTACCGTGTGAGATAAAGAGTCCCTCCATTACTCTTTAAGAGGGTCACCCTTTTTCCCGGCTCATAGGAACCAGCAGTAACCGAACCGTCACTAAAATGCGAGCAAATGTAGGAATAACCCTTTCCACTGAAATTTATCACAATTATGTTTGATAACTTTAACTCATTTCAATGCAAAGCAGATCTAGTTGAATTTTGATTAGTTCAAATGAATTCGTGCAAGCAGGATATGGCAAAATGTGAATGCAGTAGAGGTGACCGTAGTCCAAAAATGAATTTGTAAGAATATGGACTAGAAGACAAGTTAATAAATACAAGAGGAAAAAGTACATTCAAAACTTTACCAACTGCAGTGACTTACGCCTCCCTTCGTGCGATGCGCCGCTTAATGAGGTGTTCGACCAGTTGTATTGCAGCTGTTACAAAGTCTGATTCGTATTCGTAATGGTCGAAGTAAACATTCATTCGCTGGAAAGACCGGGATCAAGGATATGAGATAAATCAATGGATGAATGAGAAAATGGAGAGAGAATACTTACAGTGTAGACACGTTGGAGATCTTCCAGACTAAGGGCGCGGAATTTACACCAAAGGTCAGCAAGATCGGGCCGTTGACCCCTCTCCAGCTCAGTGACCAGCGCTGAAGCCATCGCCTTCCCCTCCTCTGTGGAGCCCAACGTCTGACAAGCCCGCACGTAGACCTGTGAATAGAACACCTTCATTAGTTAAGAAGAATCACATTTAAATTATAGTACCCTACATGAAAACGCATTATTCGCTTTTCTCTTTTTAAAGCTAAAAACTAAGCCTTTAAGTCATGCTAGGTAAGTATGCGCTTACATTACAGAGGAGTTGACACAAAGCAAAGAATGCGTCACACACATTTAATGTTTTTGGTTAGTAAAGAGTAAATAACAGCACACTTAAATTACTCTGTGCTTGAGCGTTCAAAAGATGCAGAACTTTATGTAGAATCGAAGATAAGTTAGTACAATCCAACGCACCGAATGCAGGTGCTTTAATGGATCTTCTTCAAGGAGACGAGCATCTCCATAATTTTTGTATCCAAGGGAGAGTAAACCTGTCAAAATTTTACAAGAAAATATACAATTATAAGCGATTACTCAGTGCTACTAAGACAAGTGCCGGTATTAGAAAGGATTATGGACCTACCAAACTGAGTACCCCAGTCGCCTAAATAATTTATTCCAGTGACTTTGTTTCCAGCAGCAAGATTGATGTTCTTAACAAAATTCCCCAAAACAGTGGCGCGAAAATGACCCATATGCATCGGCTTAGCAATATTTACGGAGCTAAGATAAACATGCCTATTCAAGGTAAAAAACTAACCTAAATTCGACTAAAACATGCTGTAGAGATGCATCCGGTTTACGCATAATGGTGTGGCAATTTTCTGGGCACATGGATAATAGGTTAAGTTCAAGACATTTTCGAATTGAACCCTTGAAAAACAGTAACACTAGTAAAGGGCTTACCCTCATCAAGTATTGTCGTGGATGGTGGCAAAAAGCGTCTCAAAATAGAAAAAAAATCTTATTAGGGACGCCCTTCGCAGTCAATCCAATACCATATAGGGAAACAAGGAGACACCAACGGAGTGAAGTCGAAAAGCAAATTAATAAGCGAGTTAGAGGAAAATCCTCTAGCAGGTATTATTAATTACAAGAGGATGACAAAACGATCTTAAAAAACATATGGAGCATAAACGTTAGTACCAAAACGCTGTTAGTCATAAACTGCATTCCTTTTGCCGCACTTTATAAATATGCATTTAATCAACAGTCGAGCTAGTTCGCTGTGATGACATAACTACAAAATACAGCAAAAAAGAACAAACATCTTAACAATACTGAAATGCAGCTGCAAAGTGAAACAGCTTAAATATTTTTAAACGAACTTTTGGCTTCTCGAACACTTAACACGGCCTACTTTCTTCCCTCAGGCATCATGCCCTCAGGATCATTTTAGTGGCCCTTAGCCCTGTTATGCCACAGCAATAGAGGCTACATCCCGGTATTTTGTTGTCCTTTGCAATCCATGCGGTTCCGACGTACTATGTTGGTAGTAGCGGTAACTAAAACCTACCACTGAATGCAACTACGCTGATTTCCATTGCCAAATTCCAAAACCTAACAAAATGGAAAACTAGCATATAGTGCAAATGATGGAGTCTGTGACGGTCTTCAAGCAGAAGAAGTAAGAATTACATCCACCTTCGGCAACTACCCCACTTTCGTGCTCCAAAAGATTGTTTTTGACAGCTAGAGCAGCATTAGCCTTAAATCATCTGGAATAGTTTTAGGCTATCTTTGGTACTTGTGTAAGATTGTCAATAACCGGACACGCGTTATATTCTACATCTTTCTAGTAGCTGCATAAAAGTTAGATGGGCATGACCGGTTTACAATGAAGAGTGAACAAATTCGCGCTGAGGAATAGAAGCAAAACCTTGCCTAAAATTACTTGTTTTTTTTATTTAGTTGCTTTTAGGCTATTGTTCTCATAACTATTGCTGTACGTACGTAATGGTCTGCACATTTGCGCATCCCCCGGTACGATTCCCCTGAAGGACGAAGGTTTAGACCCAGTAAAAGCTTTAAGAGGAATCAGTGTCGCTGAGATCAGACATCTTTGCAGTTGCATGTGAATCTGATTAATGTGATTGGCTAGGTTTTATTTTTCTTAAAGTACTGACTACATTGCGAGGACCTAGGGTGGAGGTCGATCATGACAAGCACCGGAAACGACTTTCGAACGATATGTTTTTAAGTAATATTATGGCTGTTTATCAACACTCTGTTCAATGACGTGGACACTTACAACTCTATCTCTGTTGTTTTGCTGCCATAGTACCCGTTGGGTCATGCCTATAATCTTACTTAACCTGTATATCGAGAGCACATATGCCATACTCTAATGACTTCTTTAGACATTAAGGGAGACCCTGAACAATGCGGTAAGTACGTTTGCGTGATTTTATCACTTGCGATAAAATTATCAACTGCATTCAATTTAGCTTTAATAGGATTTAAACAAATCCGACCTGTTGTGCCTTTGAGTAATGCTAGTAGTTAGGGTTCCGTTGAAATCTAATATGGCGGTAAATATACCAAGTAATATTTCTAAATCGTCCTAGCGACAAAAAGACTGGTTATTTTATATGTTATATCAAGAGACCTGACATAGTTTCTGGGTTAAGGAATGTAGAAATCCCTTCACCTACCTCAAAGTTAAAAAATTGCTTATTAAGTGTGTAGTATATTAAAGTTGCCCTTACGTGGAAAAAATGTATAATACTCAAACGGAATATGTACTGTCAACAAGCAACGAGGCTCAACGGCTAATGGCATGTTCCGAAGGCCACGATCTCTGGGAGTTACACAATGACAAAGCCTGTTAAAAAACAAAGTACTATACATAACGAAAGGTGTTAGGCACTCCAAAATAACAGTATTGCATGCTTGCCTGTTTTCTAAACATGCTTTATTGTGTCTTGTCCCTTTTAAAACGATGTTTCTTTGCTTTAACTTTACTACTCCCATCGAACGTCGAACATGAATTGTGCAACTTCGCTGTCAGACCATCCTATTTAGTCATGCTTTGGAGCTTGTACTCCAGCACAAAGTGTTACGCACAAAAGGAATCGAATTTTTTTATCTTATGACTTGCGTTTTACTTGTTTCACGTAATTTTTCGTTGAAGCGGCTTATGGAAATCCCCCCTTTTCATCCAATCAAATGTGTGCGTTGATTTCTGTTCAGTTACGATGATAGATATTGAGGACATACGTTCGGAACCCTCTGCCCTTAGTGCAAATAACCAGGTTCATCAGCGCTTCATTAAGAGGAAACAATCCCAAGATGCCTTTGATAATGTTGGTGGCAACATCCCTGGTACTTATCACCTTTGTCTTTTCTAATGAAAAAATTTTCTTTAATTCTGGTGATCGTGCTCTTCACTTCTGTTTGCCTGTACCTGTTATTATCTTCTTCTTAACTCGTCATTTTTTTGTAGTACTGTCATGGAATTTTGAAATTCTAGGCATTCAGCGTATCTTTGTGCAGGTTTGGGGATGTGCTCATAACACCAGCGATGCTGAATACATGGCCGGACTCCTTGCTGCGTATGGCTATAAGGTAATTGTGCATGTCATTTCTTGCGCTACACTACTAGTAGGCCTGCTGGTATAAATGAAACATTTCATAATGTTCAAGCGGAACTGCTATATATTTACAGAAGTATGTCTGATATGATTATCTTTAACAGTTGGACTGTTATTGTTGAATAATTACTTGAATCTTACAAGCCCCTTTCGTTTGCCAGTAGCTGCTATATCTATCCAAACTCCTGAATTTTTGCCGGTGCATGATTATCCGCTTCAAAGGCTTTCTCACTCGCAGCTCATGTATTTGTTGTATCGTAACTGTTTTTATTGGAATTCCTTCATTATTTGGGGACCAATATTAGCATGCAGATGTCTTTTTGTTCATATTTTCTACATGCCAATGAACAGTTGATGTGTCGCAAAAGCACTGCCGATTCCCCGACTTAAATAAGATTGTAAATTTGGTTTTGCTACAAGCTGAAAATAGTTGTCGTTTGTGTCGTCCCATCCATTCTCTTGATGTTATTTTTTCTTGTTTTCTGACAGTGTTTGGAGTTTCTAAGCCATTGTTTATTAATGGGACACTATAGGGATATTTAAGCCCCCGTTTTAATCGCGTTTTTTGAAATAGCATAAAGTGGCGTTTGAATTTAAGTTCATAATCGGTTCAGTTGTTTCATAAACAAGGTCGTAAAATATCGTTTTTCCTATGTATCTTTTATTTGTGTTCTGAATTTGTTATATTATATCGTTTTCTTTGTACCTTCATTCGCAATCGCACTACTGTTAACTCAGGCCGCAGCACCGTTTTAGTGGTGCTAAATTTGCCAACAATCTGTGTTTTTCTTCCTGTTTAAATTTCGGCATTGGAAGCATGTAAATGAATGTCCTAAAATGTTTCGAGAAATTTGAACAAATCAGCCGGCACCAAATTATCAGACGTGTTAATGAGCTTGTGTTTCGTTCTCAATTATGGATCCTGTCATAGCAGACCATAAGCGATCTGGTTTCACCAATAAAAGTGATCCATTGGACGCGCCTTCGTTGCTCACTTTGGTGACATTGGCCTGTTTTTTTTGTCAGTTAGAAATTGGATGCTTCAATCAGGCATAGTGTATTCTTTTTCTCATCATTGGATGTGTTACCCATACAACAATCTGTTATTATTATGAGCTTTGATGTGGTCATATTTTAGTGTCAGCATCCTGAATCTCAGTGGAATTTGCCATCAAGTTTGTTTCATATCACATATTTCTGTTGTTTGGACCCATCATTTCATGACACCGAATTCATACTTTTTAAACCGCTTATTGATATTCATCTTCGTACTGATATTTCCCATCACCCTAGACGCACCAAAAAAGGCTTCTTTTGAGTGTTATTAACTTATTACCTAAATATAAAAAAGCGTTAAATGTCTGTGGCTTTTCACCGCTAAAGCAAAAAGTGTGACTTAAATTCATTTTGGAGTAGTTCAGGTTAGCTAGGAATCCATTGTTCTCCTGATGGGGTAATAGATGACAGTGAATGGAATTAGCCTGTGTAGCACTGATTGGTGCATCTTTACTTTAGGTTACACTGGGCGGCAGTTGCGGCAACTGTGGTTCTAGTTCGGACGACGATGAGGCGAAGGCGGCAGCCGATTTATGGTTGCTAAACAGCTGCACTGTAAAAGGACCCGCTGAAGATCACTTTAGAAACGCCATTCTCGCTGCCAAGACCGCCGGCAAGTGCGTTGTTGTCGCTGGTTGCGTTCCCCAAGGTAGCCCCAATGTAGCTTACCTCAAGGTACCTCGCTTACCTCTCCCTCCTTACTTTATCGGCTGGTCATGCTTTTAATAAAACATGGGATACCAGCTGGAATCATTCTCATTCATTTATGGTTTTGTCAAAGCGGCTCAGTCGTTTTTTTTTTTTATTACCGCATTCATCCCATTAGAATCTCCTCGATGTACCAGTGCAAACTGATTTTGTTTCAGATTAATTGTGAAACATTAAATAAAACCATTTTCAACTGTCCCATTAGCTGTTGGCCGTTAATATCGGTATGAGTGGCGTCTGATCCAACGTTACCATCATCTTATAAATCAATCCCCGATGACACGGATGCTCATTATGTCCTTAGATATTTCAGTCTTTGTGAGCTAAAAAACTTTTAAATTGCCGTACTTGTGTGATATACGTCGGATGCCTGGCTGCAACTACAAACACGAGGAATGGAGAAAGATGCCAGTAATTAAATCGCAAGGATTTACGTATCCTAATTAAAGCTGTGGCATCGCGATCTTACGAGAAAGTACTTGAATTTGTATGGTTCTTATTTTATCACTTCTAAGGTAGAGATTTGCTGTAGCATTTGTATCTTCCTTAAATTTTATTAATATTAGCCGAATTTTGATCATCGGTTCAATTCGGACAACTTTAATACGTCATTCTTTTAATAATTTTTATGCGGGCCAACGCTGAAGTATATTTTGCATGTTTTCCGTACCACACTGCTGGGCATTGGTGGGTGTGACGGCTGTCATTAGACCCATCCGTTTGCGTATTTTGATAGTATTGTTATCCCGCTCATTATCTTAGTTTGAAGTGATTCATTAACTGCTTAACTCGAGAAATGGGGATGGTGTTACCCTCATTTGCGGTCTGACTACTTGTTATTCTCATTCCGATTCTGTCCGCCATTTTTGATGTTAGTAGTAATGACCATAAATTAATCGACCCTTTAGTTATAGACAAATAATTCGTAAGCAATTAAAGGAATGTTTACTGAGTGAGATTTTATGCGCATGATGCTAAAAGTACCTTACTGAATAAGTTAGCCCCAGTCATTTGCGAACTTTACAGCCCAGTCGATGGGTACGCATAAAAGTTGGTTTGGTGCTAATTTTACACTTGTAATACTTTGTATTTAGCATATGTCAACGCATTTTCGCGACCATTTTCAGTTCACTGTGGACAGCAGTCGGATGCTGGCAGACCTACAGTTGGCGTCTCACGATTGCCCTATCTATGCGAGACCGGCAATTTCCAAAGCACACTAGAACAATAAATCGAGTTATTTGGGGTCGCAGTCGTCTAGACACCTACCTACCAAATGCACTTAATGTAGCCATGATTCAGGCAAACCCAGCAATTAGATCCCTTTTTACTAACTACATCTAAGATTTGTGTTTGGCTTGTTGTCCGAAGTGTTCTGGATTTGTCTTATTACGGCCACATTTTCGACCATTTAAGTCAATACACAGCAAAAGTACGTCCTCTTGATAGGTTTGCATTTGTTCACCTTTTTTCACCTCTCATTTTATCGCGAAGGGCATGTGGCAGAACGCTGATCCTTTCCGCTGTAGCTTAGGTACAAATGTCGTAGTTATCTTTTGGCCAAAATGATAATTTTAATTAGTACTAAATTGTAAGAGCAGCCAATGTCACAAAGGAAAGTGAATGGGAAGCATAATACATACGTTCGGTTGCTACTTCTACCCCTTTTCAATTTCCATTCCGCCTTCACTGTTTAGAGTTAAGATAAAAGGTATTTTTGCCCTCTCCTCATTAGTTGAATGATCGAATCTCCTTCCGGCTATTGCCCCATTTTCATTGTGATGCACAATGCGATGTGAGCCTTGCGTGAAGAAATTAGTTAGTACCCTAAGTGCAAGTCCCTTACATTCGTTTTTCATTCCTTTCCAGAATGTTAGCGTGGTCGGTGTTCAACAGATCGATCGGGTTGTGGAGGTGGTCGAACAAACCCTGTTGGGTAGGTTCAGCCTTCCTGCAGATTGGTTTCAGCTTAATTTAGGCTCATCTGTTTCAGATCATGTTTATCTTCGTTCCTCATTATTCACGACTAATCTTAGCCTAGTTCTCTTACAAGGCTTATTTTAGGGTTGAAATCACTTGTTGGACCGCAAATTTCCATTTGACTAGCCACACCCGCTTCGTTTGTAGCTTTAAGGCAAAATAGTAAAAACTTATACCCACGCCCAATCCATAAGGCAATCACAAATGGCCGTCTGGAATCGTATTAGTTATAGCAAATAGACCTAAAACATTTTTGAGGTTTAAGTCTTGAGTAACTTTGAAAATTCACATTTAAAGCACCTAGTGAGCGGATCATAGAATCAAATGCGTGTGTTCTCTTTTGCACCTATATCAGGCAACGTAGTGCGTTTCATGGAGAAGCGTGTGTCTTCAGTAGATGCTGTGACGGCGAAAGACAAGCTGGAGGATTCTAAGACTCGTCAGAAACATCCGCGACCTGGTGGAGTGCCACTCTCATTGCCGAAAATTCGGCGCAACCCATTCATTGAGATCCTGGCCATTTCGACAGGCTGCTTGAATGCCTGCACTTACTGTAAGACGAAGCACGCCAGAGGCGTACTCGCCAGCTACACCGTTGATGAGCTTGTTCAACGTGCTGTGGAGGTCTTTAATGGTGGGTTAACTGATCCACTTCATGAAGGCAACATTTGTTAATTGATTGTTACTGGTGATTGTTGACATTTATTGTCGTCTTGTCTTGAAATAACTGTGCATCCACAATTTTGCGACGAATATTTCCACTTTCTGATCTCTTATCTTCTGTGTGGAACAAATGAGTTGAGACTTTGTCCCTTTAAACTAACTGATTTTCTAATTTGGCTTACTACTTTGGTCACTTAACTGTGCTGAAGCTGCTTCAATCGCTGCTGTCTCATGTCTTTGTTCTACCATCTCAAAGTGATTTTGTGCAGCTGCAGTATCAGTGCATACCTTTGCCTCTACAAGTTCAGTTGTCCTTTTCTGTAAAATAAGCTTTTTGATCTTGATAACACTGCGTTATGTATTTTTTTTTCATCTATTAGTCAGTGACGAGTCTGATTGATCATTTGGATCGTTCACATGATCGTAATAAGTTGAAACACTGCTAGCTGTTTCATGCTATGTCCTGTTATTACTTTTTTTCTTGCGTATAGACGCTACTATGGCACAAATTTCGTAATATTTAATAAACCAATTCCTGCCTTGCCTATTGAGTGCAATGAAAAATATTTGAAATTATGTTGGGTTGTATTTACTCGTAAAGCCTTTGGTATCCTTTTTTAATTAAAATCTTATCTATTATGTCATATGTGCTCCTAACATTTTGCATTAAGCTATTTTGTTTTCGCTTGGTATATGATTTTTACTCGTTTAATGTAAACGCACTACTACTTTCCCCATTTGGTGTTTCCTCTTTATCTGGTTGTAATTTTGACATCATGGCTTTAAAAATCTTGTATCATTGTTTCCTCTATTATTTGCTGATCAGGCGCCGAAAATGGCGATGACAGCAGATGTATGCATGCGTATACCGCTTCTGCATCGCCACTTGTAGTTGAGGTTGTTATGCTGGCGCTAGGATGTCCATTTCATTCAGGATGACGAAGGGTGGTACTGATTTCTTGTGGATAACGTGGCGAGGACTGGAGCGAATTCAGGTTCGCGCCCTCTTCCTTGAACACATACACACATAGACGCCTCCTGGTCATCGTACCATTTATTCGGTGCTCTGCTGTCAAGTCGGCTAGGCCTTATTAATACTCGGCTTTTATTAATTGCTTCGACTCTTAAATGCTTGCCGAGACTAGTTTCTTACTGACTTTTGGTTGGTTAAATTCCCGGTCCATGCAAATACTAACTAACTATTCGTTGAGAATAATCCAATAAATTGTTGATTGTCCAGTTCAATATTTGTTTGGTCTTCGATTGGTCCCTCCCTCCTTCCCCCATTCCAGAGGGCGTAAAAGAACTCTGGTTGACCTCAGAGGACCTTGGTGCCTACGGACGCGATCTCCGCCGCTCCGAGCACCCTCTGGCCACCACACCTCCCCACGTGGCTTCCAGGTGGCCCGATCACCTGACCTTGGCAGACCTCCTCTTCGCTCTGGTTCCTGTCATCCCAGCCGGTTGCATGCTTCGTCTCGGTATGACAAATCCGCCCTACATCCTGGATCAACTTGCAGAAGTTGCCGCTGTACTCAGGCACCCTCGTGTCTACGCTTTCCTCCACATTCCCGTTCAGTCTGGTGAAATCATCTTATCTTCCTGCGATGTTTACATCTGACTGACCGAAAGCCTCTACTTGCTTACCATCATACCGGTCATTTCCACTTCCAGGTTCCAATGCCGTGCTGAACTCAATGCGACGTGAGTACACAATCGAGGAGTTTCAGAAAGTGGTTGATTTTCTCGAAAAAGAGGTCAAGTCCGTGTAAGATTTTTGCACTAACATTTTAACTTACTACCATCAAAGCACACATAAGTGGACATTATTTTAAATATTCACAACCACGTGAAAGGGCTCTCCACTTGGTGCAAACTTTTAAGGTGGAGCCACTTCGTGTATTCAACCTTCCTGTAACCCCGTGAATGGCTAATCTTGGTCTGTTTTTGTAAATCAGTTTTGGAAGACTCGTTCACTTTTGGTGCTCATAGCTGTAGATAGGCATCAGTAGCACTGTGTATTTTTTATTGGCACAGTCAATTTTGAGCTTTTTGATTCATTTAGAAGCGACTTTACAAGATGATCATCTATGCTACTTAAACTTTACAAATGGAGACAAATGTATTGACACATCTGCTCTCAAAATGCATCCGAAGGGATGCCGCCTTCCAATTTCTTTTTAAAAGCTGACAACCTTTGTGTGTGTGGATTAATGATAGATTTTAGTGTCTGATGAAAGTTAGGTTCCCTTCGGTTATTGACCAAGGAACTCAGATAATTTCCTTCATCATCAATCGTTTTCTCTTCGGTTTGGGCATCGTTGTCATCGGCTTCTTTTTTTTCTGTCACTCACATCGCCCAACCCATCTTCCATTTCGATATTTCACTAATTTATCAAATTATCCAACAATAGCTTTATTATTTATCATCATCGGTTCGCTCGTCGATCCAAATCGTCTTATTGCCATGTACTCTTTCCTTCTTGTCATTCATCCATTCATTTGCTCCCAAACCGAAGAAATATTAAGTTATGCCAGCTCGTGGTAAAGCAGAGCAATATTGTCAGCAAACATTTAGTCTTGAACTATGGTGTGTATTTTTACATCCAAAGCTCTCAATGTGTTTTTGCGAGTTGTCAAAATCGGACAGCTATTTACCTTGTCACCGTGGTGAATGTCTCGCCTTTTAATGTGACTTTCACACTGATACCCTTCGTTAGATCAGTTTTGGTTTGATTGGTAAAAGGTATCCTTATGGAATATAGTGTTTGAATTTTCGAAATTTTCCGTTTGTTTCATCGTCCAGTCTTCTATCTGATTGTACAATCAAGGATTGGATTCCTGTAAGAGCAGCACATTTTTCACTCTCCCTACAACAACAGAGACGGAGACAAGATGACTGTGGCAACTGACGTGATTTGCGGTTTTCCAACGGAAACAGAACCTGACTTCCAGGCCACCTTTCGACTGATTGAACGCTACAAATTTCCCGTCCTTTTCATTAATCAATTCTTCGCTCGACCTGGAACACCGGCCGCGTCAATGAAGCGGTAGGCTTTGATTTAATTTTTCTTCATCGGTCGTGGGACATCGGTTAAAACACTTGTTCGCCCAACAAGCCAGCGTCAGAAAGCCCCATTGCTATTAAGCTATCCTCTATCTTTCTTTAAAATCTACTTGTAACCCAGTTGCAAGCTCCACAGTGCCTTTGTTACTCAGCTAATGTTAATACTATTAATTTGGATTGATTAGGTATTGTTCGATACATAATGTGTCACCGTTGACGTTTGAATTTCGGAGAGCAAAGTTTAAATGAAAGACGTGAAATAGTATACCGCCACAAGTCGCTGCTCCTCTCACACCCAATACCGGGAGTAATTTTTATCGGTAACGAATGTCAATGAATTGGCTTTGCAAATATGCACGTTAGCACTTCTCTTGGTAATGTCACGGGCATCAGCAGTCTGAAGGGTTCAAATCTTGAGGAAATTCGAAGGAAAATATGGTGATACAAAATTTCGACCACTCACTTTTGGGTCGTGCTGAGGCTGAGGCAGTAGAGGGCAACATCACGAGATTAGAAGCTACTGGGCCTAGGTTCTATCTTATTATGATTTGCAGAGGAGTGCAACCAATCTATTATCCACCTCTAAAGTGACCCAGAGGATTGGTCGTAGCATCTTAGTGATCCTTGGTATTGTGAGTATGTTCGCTGATAGGCCACAGATTCTTCATTTCTCTCATGTTTTTCAATTTTCTTAGCATGGCAACGACTGCAGCAGTGAAGAAACGCACCCGCGCGCTTTACGATCTTTTCAGGACGTACCGACCGTTTGCGGATAGAGTGGGCCGTCGTTACCGCGTTCTCATCACCGAGGCTAGCACCGATGGCAAATATTGGGTCGGCCACACCAAAGCCTATGAACAGGTGAGTGACCGCTTTGAGTCTCTATGCTTCCTTTAAAGTGCTGGCACTGAATAAGGACTTTGACTTTCATCTTCTTGCTCCTGACCTCATTTACCAGATCGCATATTTGACAGGCTGGGGCCACTTACTTATTCGGCTGTCCCAACTAGAGCTCATTCTTTCCGGTCAAATTGGTGCCAAAAATATGGCTGAGGTAAAGTCTTGCAGAAGTGGTATGCGGTCTCTAACACTATGTTCTCCCATGAATCACGTCTGTTTACGTTCTATTTGTAAGTAGCTTGAAGAGTTGCGTTACTCCCTCTATGTTCCTTTCTTCGGTGTCCAGGTCAAATGGTTGCCTGATTCCAACTCCTTTGCTAGTGTAGGAATAGGGGAACTTTGTCTCCTTACTTGGTTAATACTTCATATCTCTACAGATGACATGACCCCTCTTTTTATTCACTATTCTTAATTGTAATTTTCACTTTCAACAAATTGGCTACAAAAGTTGATGTAATAAACAGCCATTAAAAATGGAAGCTTTATGGGGGAAACCATCCATGCTCGATACTTGAATGACTCGGCTTCTGATGGATTTTGCTTTATCCTTCCTTTTCTTCAACCTGCAGTGTATACAAAAGCGAGCTCCCTGCTTTTGGGGTTACCTGAAGCTCTAGGAAAATGTTCCTGGTCGGTTCTTTAGGAGTTTTAATTGGTAGCTCACCTCCGAAATTTCTAGAGTCGCGCTCTAGCTCGTACCAAATAGAGATGTACCGATGCCCAGTAAAAGACCAAGTTTAAACAGTCACTGTGATTACGCTCAACCGAAATCACTGCTGCACAGCCTCACGCTCTGTCCCGGCTCTCTAGCCGTCGGACACGTATACAGTGCCTGTACTTCCTTCGCTTGCTCATTGCGCCCTGGGTCTTACCTACTCGTTGTCGGGCCGGACGCTCGTCTAAGTGCGGGTAACTCGCGCACAAGCACCAGATGATGACAGTTTATAGCTCATTTGACAACAAATGTGAACTTCACTTCAGACTCGTCTCTCCCAGACATGGGTCAAAGGCTTTCAGTTGGGTGATCAGGTTTTAATCGGTATGTCTCCTGGTCAACTGAGGTCAATGGATCCTTTTTTCTGTTAAAAAAGCTACTTACTTTTTTTGCTTTCGTTAGTCTCTTCCATTTCAAATTATGCCCTTTTAATTTTCTTATCTTCACTAATTTTTTTCGCCAAAATTTAGATGAAACCTGATTGCTCGGATTTTTTGTAGAATTTACATTCAGTAATTTATAAAAAGACGTATTCACTTGACGACAAACTGAGTGAATAGTAAATCTGCTATTTGCTTAATAATTCAAAAATGTTCAAAGTAGGCTAAACTCTTGTCTGTCATATTTGGTGCGTTTCCATAATTCTCCATAGGTGTTATTATTATTTATTTTGTGTTCGGGAGACACTCATCTTCTTTCCACTGCTGTCGTGATGCTATCCAGCTCCGCATGTGTAATTTCTAACTTCTTGCGATCATGCGATGTCAGGTCTTCAGATTCATGTCATTTTCCCATAGCGTCCTAATTACTCAAGTTACGATCAACCGGTTCTGTTTATGCTTCTGCCTCTAGATTCTCTTGCCCAAGGAGCCCGAATTGCAGGGTCATATGGTACTGGCAGAGGTGACAGAGTGTGATAAATTCTACATGCGTGGCGTGATTGTTGATCGCGGTCCATTCGTTTCTCTCTCCGTGGAATTGGAGGGGAGTGAGCATCTCCAACTATCCCCTTCTTCAGCTTTTCCCCTCAGATGTGACAGGCCCCCCTTGCGGTCGAGTAGTTACAGTATCTCCATGACGAAGACTAGGTCGAGTTTTTTGTCGTCCAGTCTAGTGAGTTTGATTTATGCCATCTATTAATTTGGTGGATTTCTAATTTTGGGAATACATATGCATAATTCCAGTTTATGAGTCAGCAAATTTCATACTTGATAATCTTACTATATTTTCCATCTTTGTAACTTTGGTGACAAATAAATAAAAAGTGATAGAAATCAAGACACTGTGAAGATATTTGTGCTCTTCTGTGTCTGATACCTTGAATGTGTGATGGCGGTGTAAGTGGATTGCCTGGCGTCGAAAGGTGACCGGCAGTGAGCATAAGAATAAAGACTCCGTAGAAGAGAATTGCACCTAATACGTATAGGATATATTTGAGGGGAAAGTGTTCGTTTAATGCATTAAATATGTGTTCAAAAAAGTGTGTCGAGTAGATGTCGTATAGTTCAAAATATCGGTATTCCAACTTTGTTTTAATATTTAGCAACACCCGTTTTACATCTAATAGGTCGGTTCGACTTTTACCTGGGTATATCATGTTACTTAAGTTGTCTGCTAGATTTCCTAAAGAAAATGCGCTTTTTCTTTTACCCGTCAATTTAATGGATGCTCATAAGTGTAGGCATATGAGAAGTGTCATAAGACAAGGATTTTTAGAATCAGCTATTCTAAAACTTTTGGACTCAATTCCTCCCCTCCTTTGTTAATTACTCAAACGATTGAAACGGTAAGTGCATATTTGATGAAAATCACTCGCGTTTCGTTGGTCCACGAATGTTGGATGATTAGGTTAGATTGAATGCAAGTCATTAACAATTACTGTGGCATATTGTCAATCACTACTTGGCATGCTAAAGAATCTCATGATCTGCTCATTCCTCTTTTGAGTATGATTTTTAGTAATTTTTGAGGTGATTGCTTATATAATAACCATTTTCACCCACCCTTTGTTGTAGATAACCGTTGCCCTCTTTCTGCTCATAACCACATGGGTTACATCAAAACTGCTTAACATTCAATGAAGCTCTTTCCTTCAACCAATTTCTACACACCTGAGAATAAATTATTGCAGTTTTTCGACTTTCTCTTTATTGGGAAGCGAAACTTGAAACTGGTTTACCTGTACCATCGGATTTGTCCGGCTTTGGTCCTCCGAAATGCTATTATTTGACTTCATTAGCTGGAGAAGTGTTCATGGTTGCGTTGGTCGGCTAACATTTTCTAGTGTTGATTTGTCTGCCTGAGTTTATCAGCCTCGGAGGATTGCGCCCTCGTTTGACGATGTGATCCTACGGTTATATCTTTGGTCTCTACCTTCTTTGCGGTTTTGGTGAGCTTTTACCCGCAGTGGTGGGTGCACTACTATCTCTAGTAATCGCTGATGGCCACGCCTCTTTGCAAGCACATGGGTCTCTTCCTCTTGTGGTTCATTGAGTACCGTGGGAGGGGGGGGCATAGGATGTTGTAAGCCAGGCCTATGACCGGACATGAGGGTTCTAGGGCAGAGGAGGATTTGAGATTTCTCAAGTGACCGGCGTGAGGGGCGACTCCGAGGTTTGTGGAGCCGGGTGTTTCTCTTTTGCTCCATTCAAGGCCGATGAATTAAAGTGCGGTTTTAAGCATTACCGAATAGGAGGTCGTGCTTTGGCACTGGTTTCAAAAAGTATTTTAGAATCGAAATATAAGTGGTTTACTGACTTATCTCTTTTAACAGTGTACCATATGAGCATAGAGTGATTGCAGGTGTAAACCCTAATTTTCGTTGATGGGTTTAAAAAAATTGTTTTTTTTTTTAGGGTAAATAAATGAACTACAGTAAATGCACAGATTTGTCAAAAACGGACCGCCAGGTTGCCAAACCCCCTACCAATATGGCGGCGCACATTTCAGTTGTGCCTTGGCTAATTTACTACTGGTTGGGGAGTCGATGGTGTAGTCTCCTCTTTTAAGTACGATCATGTTTGTCAGCCCTTATTGTTATGTTATCATTTATACATACTGTATCTACATAACAGCTTTGCGTACGTCTTTCTCTTTGTGTTCTATTTATGCATTTAGAAATTGATATTAAGGACAACATAACAAGCTTTTCCATAAATAATTATCCATCTTTGCTCTCAAGAAACGAAACACATGTTTGGGAGTTTAAGGCAGCAAACACGGGTCAGATTGTCATTAGGAAGCGGTATGTTCATCTTTTTCCTGGCGATGAGTTAACAATCTTCGACGATTTTGCTGACTCAAAAACCGAACTAGGTAATTATTCATGTTGCTTTTTGGAGTTCTAGCTTGAAATGTTGGACTTGATATTGATGCTAAAACTAGTGTATTTCCTATTAAAAGAAGATAAAGCAAATGCGGCATATATTTCTGTTCCAAATGAAGGTGTTTTGATGCTCCTTTTAGCAAGGTATTCAAAGTGGAATTCCTCTGCAAGCAAAGTTATCTCTTCGGGCGACTCCATCACTCTAGAGCTGACTAATAACGCTAACCTATCCGTACCAGTGCTGGAAGATGCGAGTCACATATTTGTGCGTCCCTTTTTTTATTCTAACTATCTTTCAATTCTGGCTTCGTAGCACTACTGCACACCTTCCATTTCAGGGCTTTAACTTCACCTTGGAAGAGGCTGGTTTCTGCTCACCCAATGATTCTGACCGCGCGTCTTGTGAATTTCCTCAGGAACAGCGTTGTTATTCGGTGGCGGAAGATCGGTGTGATGGTTCCTGGGACTGCCCTTTAAACGGGCTCGATGAGATTAGTTGTTCATGCCCCTCTGTTACAGAATTCGCCTGCGCAGATTTTTCTGTCTCCGGATCCTGTTACAGCTTGGCTCAGCGATGCGATGGCGTTTACCACTGTACTGACAAATCCGATGAGGCAAGTGGTGTCATGGTTGCACTTACTTTGGAATATTCGTCAGATAATCGGATTTACTAGTCGATAACTCGTTTTTTTTCTGGCCTCTTTGGAACTAATGGGTCGGCCTTCCCTTCATTTTGTATTAATAGTTGATAATATGGTAATCAGTTAGCCAATGGAGTCTACATTGTCGGGTAATTAAAGAGGAGGCTTTCATTAACTACCAAATTTTCCAGTCTTTCTCCATCTTGTGATGTTATGTTCACTCTTAGTTCTCCTAACTGTCCATTTTTTCAAAGTTTCTACAGGCTATGCCATAAAGATTTGATGAGGTCGGATATAATTTGAATAAGTTAACCTTTTTAAACTAACTTTGTTATTGCCTAGCATTTGGGTTAACGCTTGCTATTCATAATAGCCCATTATTTAAAGGTATAATGAAATCCTCATTTACTTTAGGGGATGGAGTGTTTCTTTCTAGTTTTACATAAGTTGACCAACTCTACAAGCGTAGGTTCTATCGCGGTACTCATTTTATCGCATCTGTCAAAGGGTTAGTGGCATGTTTCGCGGGGCGCAGAATTACCTTTCATGCCTTAGATGCGATCCATAGGGGACGCATTTCTCCTTCGGAATTTCCAACTGATTTAGGCAAAATCACCCAGTAAATTTTGCTGCTCTAATGAGAGATTTTACAACTTGAATGCTCCAGTACCTGCTAAATTTTGCCTAGTAATTTGACTTGGTTTTATTAAGCTTAATCCTTCAATAACTAATTATTGTTTAAAAATTCTACTAGAAGAATTTAAATGTATTGCCAATGCCTTAGGATGTCATTATTGTCTATAGGTATGGATAAAGTTTTCTCTTATTCCTCTTGCTTATAGATGAATTGTTTGGAGAGCCAGTGTTCGTTAGAGGCGCTACGTTTTCTCTGCGTGCCACTCAATAGCAGTGCGAGGGTGGCGGGTGAGTGTGTCCCTCTGGAACGGATTTGTGATGACCACTTGGACTGTGCCAACGGGGTCGACGAGGCGCCTTACCTCTGTCGCAGCTCCGAGCCCGCCAAATCTTCCTCTGTCGTTGCCGCCATCGCACAGCTCTTCGCCGCTCAGGTGGCTCAGGAGGCAGTGAAGGAGGCGGCGGCGGCAGCACTGTCGCGGGTGGACTCGCGGCTGCGTACCCTCCTCACCTACGTACTATCCGCTCTTTTCGGCCCTCTTCTCATCGTCCTTACTGTTGGGCTCGTGTGCCGTTCTAGCGCCGCCTCCTCTGCTACCGGTCGACGGTCAGCTGAGGAGACTCGACGTGCAAGACAGCGTATGCCCTCCCAAAAGTACAGAGGGGCAAATAACTATCATCTACTTTTGACACGTCTCTCTTTTCCACAGAAGCGCGCTTCAACTCTCCCATTCAACGTCTCATCCGCGATGAAATTCGTCGTCGTCCCCCTCCTCCAACGTACGAGGAAGCGTTAAACAATAGTCTTTTTGAGGAACCAATTCTTGAGGGGGTGGTGCCACCACCTCCACCTGAGCCTCTCCCAGGTGCCCTCTCACAGGATCGCATCGCTGCTGTCCGCGAACTCTCCATGAAGCCCACCCCCACACGCGTCGACGTGGCCATTTCCTGTAATCTTCTCGGTGATGTCATCAACCCCCCTTCTACCCATAACCAGCATTACCGTCGTCGACGTCGTCGGCCTCTCCTAGCATCCCCCTCTTCACCTTCCACTCAACTGATGTCCACGATGTTGGCCACACCTACTGCGATAGAAGAGGGTGAAGTCGAAGGTGTACCGCAGTCATCCATGGAAGGTGGCTCCGGCCAGGGTCTTCTTGGACGCTGGTTCGTATCCACTTTGGGGAGTTGGAGACGTGCTGGCAGTGGTAATGGTGTCGATGATGGTGGTTCAAGAAGGGACTACGAACAACCTGAAATCTCCGAGGCAACCGTAGTTTCGTCCATGCATGAAGAGGAAGGGATAGAGGATGAGTACGCCTCTATCACGTCACGGCGCGAGTCCATCAACGGAGAAGACGAAGAGGAGGCAGATGAAGGTGTTGTCGGTAATTTCCATATGGCTAATTTGCATTCTTACTTATTATAATGAACATGAATTAGTCCCCTAGGTGCTTAATATTTTGCTGACTGGTCGTCGTATGTTTGGTTTTAGCACAGTTTTGTGGTATTCTTGATGCATTGTATGCAGAGGCAATGGGATGCAAATTGTCTGGTCTCCCTATATCGCTCTTGGTTGATCTCTATATTCATTAACCAGAGTGTAAATGGGGTTTTGATACTGTTTGCATTCATTGTAGTTATTCTCAAAATATGTTTCCATTTTCAGCTTAATCAGGGTCACATAGTGGAAGTGTAAATTGATCGTCTTTTTTAAATGTCAAAGAACTTCAATCAAACTAGGTAATAGGTATGCTGTTGATATAATAAGCTGCTTCCCATTTTGTCGATGTATGAGGATTTTAAACTTCCACATTAACATGATCTTCCTTTGGAAGCTGTCGCTAGCAAGCGCTTGGGTTATTGTGTTTGCGAAATCAGTGGGTCAGATCCCCATACTTGTATTTTCTGACTAACAAGTTAAATGCATATCCGGAATGCGCTTTGTGATTACGCACGACTGGATTATTTTTAAAGGTAAACACTGGATTTTGAATTTACTGGGAAGCGGAATACTTCTCTGTTTAATGAGTAACGCCGCTTGCTCGTATGCATGGCCATTTGGTTCACCTTCACACCATGCTCGTTTATTAAAAGGCATTTTTTAGGCATAAATAAGATTAATTTATTTGTCTTTCCTCGTGAATTCCTGCCAGATGCTAGGAAATGCATGCAGATGTCCCGTACGCATTGTCCATTGATGGTTAACAAAAGCTCGGCTTGTCTGTTGTTGACCTGATCCACTCTACTTCTTCCGCATCTAGGAGGTGCTCCTATGGAAGGTGAACTGTTGCTAGAGGCTACGACAACAGCTGTAGCAGGTGGAGAGCTGGAAAATATAGTTGTGGAGACGAGTCAAGATGGCGGCGATAACGATGGTGACCATTTTCCGGGTCCCCTAACGCCTCTCCTAATTGGAACTCATTCGAATGGCGCCTCCGTGGGAAGCCTATGATTGTCCCTCCCGGTCCTTCTTTCCTTCATTTTACTGTCTTTCATCTCTTTCTCGTCTACACTTATCATCATCATGGTTTTTTTGTAAAACTTATTTAGAAATGATAGAAACGTGATTTTTTCTCATTATGTTGCTCTTAAATTACTCCAGTTGGATGGTTGCTAGTCGCCTGTCGAGTTACATTCCCCTGTTTTAAAGTCATCGGTCAGATCAGCATCCGGAATCGCTATCATGGCTACCATCATTACTAAGGCGATTCACTCGATTCGCAGAACATTTCTTTACATCAGTGTTATTCATCCTTATTTCTCAGGAATTTTTACAATTACTGGAAATCGTAATATTTCAACGGTGAAGGAGTTGGATGTTTTTGAAGTGAGTTGGCCTTCACCGGGTCCCCAAGCCCTCGACAGTACTTGGTTATCAAATATCATCCTGGGGACAGAGTTGTTAACTTGTAGTATCTGCTGCTGCCATGTATCACTAATTATTTTTCTCCATGAGCCTCAGCTATGGATAATCAAGGTCCCCATACTGATATAAGTACGACTGATTAAAGACGTAGGAGGTATCCTGCATGGCGCAATTTTGTGTGAAAATTAGATCGTAGCTTGGAGTTTGTGTTTGTGTCATATCCCCCTCTAGTATCATGCTTTGTATTCGACTGGCAATTCTTTTTATTATCTGAAGGCTTCATAACTTGTAATTCTGTGTAAATTTTATGTGTTCAGGCGGCTGAATTCGTTCGTGTCTCTATTGAAAATGGATTGAAGTCTAACCAATATGTTTAGATCCATCGCACAAGCTAAAAGATGGATGTAAATAGGTTTTAAGTACACAGATATCAGAATTTTTTGTTGGAAGGACTACAGTAAACCATAGTTTGATGTATTTTTAACTGCATACCTAATTACGTATACTTTTCAGCTCGCTCGGACTGCATTCCAAATGACGAAAGTCGACTCACTAGTAGCCTACCCGGTTTATAGTGTACAAATTTATACCAGTCGCCAAATTCGTATGCAACTGAGGAGATACTTGACCGCAACGTCACTGATCCCTCTTGACAATTTAACCGAATTTGGACCTTCGTCCGGCTTGGAAACTGCACTCAGGAACAGAAAATTGTGCTGCCCATCATGCGTGTTCATGGACAGACGTAGGAACACTGACCCAAAAGCAGGTTTTTGCAAGGAAGAACGGGATTTAACACACACAGGCCCGTGAGGGAAGGGTCGTGCGTCTGTTCCTCCTTGCCACATTGTTCTCACTTCGGAACTGTGCAGTCATATCAACCCGGGCTCTATTCAGCTAGTGCAGAAGTGGAGGAGGCATGGTGAGTTCACTTTATCAACAGCTTTATGCAGGTATGATAGAGGAAGTCTGTGACTAAACTTCCAGACGGTTCATGGCTAGCATCGCTTCAGTTGATGGTAGCTTTCCTGCAGCACATGGGACTGGGGTAGCTGCCGAAGGTGGACGGCAATTTCAGTCCTTCTGTTTGGGGCCATCACCATCCTCCTGTTCGTAGATTGCGTACTTCTTCCGCCCTGTTAAGGTTTATCACACAGCAGTGAAAATCAGGATAGGCGTCCTCCAGGATCGGGTTTGTTTCTCACTGCCACCTATGTAGCATCCCTAGACTTCCTTGAAGACGAAAGAAGATACAATGCTCGGTTGGAATGTATGTATTCAGCATACAGAGGGTGCTAGGGCTACTGGCATGACAAAAGGGCCAGCCCGTTCGAAGTGTTATCGTGGCTAGATTAAAAGTGGCTCCCCACCAAAGACAGGAGTTAAACAGCCAACCTATTGCAACCATTTAAATTAGACATTTGTGTCAAATTTGTGTAATTATTTTTTAATAATTAATTTTGAGCCAAAATGTTTGATAAAACCAAAGGTACTGCATGTGATTGCTTCCCAGCAACCAATTTCTTGGCGCAGAAGTCACAAGAGTTTAATATAAGCTACCGGAAGGACCGGTAGGCTCTTGGCAAAGGTGATATAAACGAAACGTCCTAGCAGGGGTGTTTGCCTAAGCAAAATGAAACATTTCATTTTCTGTACTGTTAAAGTGCAAAAGGATGGACCACGTTTGGGACCCTTCATGACTACTTTAGTCAATGCATATTTTTACTCCTAATTTAATTTTTCCGGCTCGGTTTCTTTTTTGATTTTCATTACTGAGGTCTCAAGCAGGCCGCTACGCCTTCCGAGTTTAATGATTTAGATCTAGACGAGCATGACTTCCGACCGTGAGATTTGTAACCAACCGATGAGGTTGGACTTTATCTAAATGAATGTAATTCTTTCTTGTAGACAGTATTTAAAATCACACGAACATTTGCATTTTGCTCACTATTTGAGACTCTAAACGCTTGTTCAAGGGCTACTTTGACATAGGTAAACAAAATTTAGCCACAGACTGACCAAATAAGTTTTTACAATTTGAGTTCAGTGACAAAGTTGATATTTTGATAACTGTTGCTTTGGTTGGACTGAGTCTTAGCCATTGGGCGAATTTTCTGGTGGCATCACAACCATGATAGGAGACATGTCTGTTAAACCTGCATATTTGGAATATCTTGAAGACAATTGTACCTTAAAGCATTTATTAGTTTTAATACTGGTCTTTATTACTTCGTATGCATAAGCAGGAACTTTATTGTACAACTTAATAGAAATAGCACTTTAAGCTCTGCTCCGATTTTATGGATATAGTGCTAAGTCTAGGAAAGTTTAATTTTAACCTCCTAGTTGCATATAATGTACAGTACTTTATTACATAGATTTCAAGTTAACTTATTCGGAATGGGAAAATACGAATGTCAGCAGAGTATCCTGCTACCGCCAGTTGTCAAAAGTGGTATGCGTCGTCCTGATCATAAGGCTCTGCCATTTGACTAATAAATGTATCTTAAATTGGAAATAAGTTGTTAACCGATCAAACTACTTCCACTGTATCCAAGCGACATTTGATTGATGAGTAAGCAGTGCTTCACGAATCCCAGCATGGAATGTAAAAATGGAACTAATGACTTTACGTTATAAAACCGTTGGTTTGCTAACACCCTTTGGGACGTTAAAGTGGCCCAAAAATCACTGAATCCAACTCCCAAATCATTAAAGGCTGATTAATGCTATTTCTAAATAAATCAGTTTCATATTACACTACACTAGGTGTAGGGCGAGACTCATCGGTCTCCTCTACCCTGCTCCTAGTGTTCCTAGAATAGCCCGGTTGATTTACTTTTGACATCTTTATTAAGGAGGTAAGATCGTGGGGGAAGGTGCAATGTTTAGGGAGGGGAAGAGCCGCAATCACAACTAGGCACGGAAGGCGGCGACCCTCTCACCAGATTCGAATTCCCAGGTTGCCTCCTCACTGAAAGGCAAATTAAAACAACATAAGTATTACACTAAAGTTGTTTTTGCAGTAACTTTATAGATAGCAGCTAATTCCCGAAGGCGGCAAAAAATGCAAACATGTCTATTAGACCCCAAAAGAAATAATCATCACTTAAATTTTATGCAGACTGAAATGTGCCACAAGAGCATGACAATGTCACGACTCTGATTATATGAGCATTGCTAGGAAAACTTCGTTACCAATAGGCAGAAATAGGAGTACTGATTAATCTGACCCCTATTCCATTAGTCGGATCCTTGAAATTTCAAGCTTTTATTCTTTTAATTGATGTCACATAAATGCTGCTCAAACGATACCCAGAATTTCAATTCAATGCATCAGTAATCGCGATAATGACGTAAATATTAATGAACAAATTGGTGTAATATCGGCAGTCGGAATGTTAAGAAATCCTGCCAGTGAATTACAGATAAATGCATTTTTACTAATTTTCGAGTCCTAGTAATGCGATATTAGGTAACTGACTAAGCTCAACCAAGCACTTAGGACTATAATTTGTTCTTATTGACACAAAATTATTGTGTTGGAGTGTTTAAGGTGCTGTCAAACAGAAGTGACCAATAAACATGTGTCAAATCCCATCAAGACGCCAAATTAACTTCTTATTTACCATTGCAGGGATGTGATTTTGTAAGGCTGCATATTAAACTTTACGAACACTTTAGTCTCCACAGACTACAATTCAGATTGATGACGTAGATTTCCAGTCACATATGCATGTATATGACCGACCGGCTGGCCTCTGGGCGGTAGCAGTAACCCAAAGCCTTGCTGAATTTTGAATATACATTCTGCTCGAGTACTGCGTCTTCTTTCGTATTCATAGAAGTCTCAAAGCCTCACAGCTACACCATCAATAACTACTGTAATACGATAGTGGTTTATCCCTCGGTTCTAGTGGGGCGCCACTTTTGGACTTTGAATTAGCCCCCTTGTACCTCGCTGGGTGGGCTGGCCTTTTAGGCCATGCCAGTAGCCTGGACACCTTCTCTGTGCTGAATATATATTCTGCCCGAGTATTGTGTCTTCTTTTGTCTTCGGGGAGTCTCGGGACGCTGTGGTAAAAATGAGTGAAGTTGAAAGAATGAATTTGGTCGGTTAAACATGGCATCGAACTCGTACACGCTCTCCCCATTTACTTTACCGAATAAACATGACAAAACTAAATCAACCTAAGTGTTCTTTGAATATGAGGGTAGGGGAGGAGGGGGTCTGTGAGCCTCGTCCAACAGTGTCATCAACCATGTAGATTAAAAAAAACGTAACCACCTGGTATAAACGTCCATTTAAGCCCTTTAGTACTCTAACAATAATGCGATCTTGTTGTAGGAACTTTATGCAAGGTGCTAGCTTAAAGTGCTACCTTAGTTAATATTAGTGGATGTTTACCAAAACAGATAACACTGGTGGTACAGTCACTAAAGCTAACCACTTGGCTTCTCAATAACAGGCCTCAGACATTATCTTAATTTTTTTCCTAAATATTGTATTAATTGCCCACCATACCTTCTTTTAGGGTGAGCTTTTTTGGGTGTCTTCTTTATTAAATTTTGCCCGTCCCAAGGACACATTTGTAGTTTACTGGATGCGATTTGCTCGCGTAGCCCTCCTGGTACTTTCAGCAGTTTCATTTATATTCCGGCACGCGTATTTCAAGACAAATGTGCACACATTTTTTTAATCTATCATCACAGTCTGCGAGCTTACACTTTTAAATAAATGGGTCTTTTGCCCTTGAGACTAACGGTGTGGCTCTATAGTTAACTCGAGAATCATGGTTCTAAGCTATCGTGATTTTGAGTAGCCTTCCCAAGTACTATCCTCAAACTTGCCTAGATTTGTTTAGAAATGGATCCTCGTGTTGACACCTTTCTACTGTTTTATTTTAAGCACCCAACCACTGTGTGAATAATTCGGTTCGTTTCTATGCCTTTATAGTGATGTACTAAAATGCCTGGTCAAGCCACTAAGCCTCTTTTGATTGACATTCTTATATCCTCATAGCTTTCCTGCTTTGTTGACACTATGCTATGTTGTGGTTGAAAAGGCTCACGCTCGTAATTTTTAGGGTTTGCTTATCCAACAGACGAGGTGCCTTTATTTTAGCCTACACCCCATGTCAGTGGTACATCCCGAATTTTCTCTGCTTTAAATGCTCGGCTTTATATACGCATCTGCGGTTCCATTTTGAAAGATCCTTGTAAAGTTGCGGTGCTTTGTATGGTAGCATTATCCTGTGACTACCTTTTCAGGTTAATAACTTGTTCTGTGCTCTGCTTAGCAGTTACTAAGCTTTTAAGATTGTGTAATGTTGGAGAACTAGCATTTTCAAGAAATTGTACTTGGCTGGCAACGTCTTGTTTTGTACAAGTGCCAGCATAACCGTCGTGCTCTTAAGTAATGTAAATGAAATCCAGTCGATTACAGGATGTATCCTTAACATGAATTATCCTTCACATTTTTATAGGTCATCGTAGCTACATAAGCTCCAAGTCCTCCTTTTTCCAATCGCAGATGTCAGAATCAACCACAACTGGTGCGGGAGGTTTTGGGAGGGAGGACGGAAACGTGGAATTCATTAATCTAGACGAGGACACGGACACTGGTGACTCAGAATTCGAGCCTCCTGAAGGCAGTGGAGTCCAGGATGATGATAGCATTGCAGCGGAGGAGGATGTTGCTGATGAAGAGGAGGTTAATGGTTTGATGAGGGTAGGAGCTTACTTTCTGTCTCATCCTTCCTTTAGCTCAAAATTTTGTCTTCTTTTTCACCGTCGAATCAGTAACACGCCACCTCCACACATGATTTCTTCTTGATGAGCCCCTTGATCCCAACACTTAAAATGATTGCCCCTACGATACATGGTTTCTTCATATTTTTATGGAAAATTGGTAGCAGGTGCTTTGTCGTACCTATTTATATTGCAATGTTTGCAGACTCATCAGTATTTTAAATCTCTTGTATTATCTATTCACGCCCTGGAATCTGCTTTTGTTTTATGTATTCTAATTGCGTTTATGCATATACTGTCCAATTCAGAGGTGATCTGACATTCATGTAGTTTTTTGCTCCTTAGTTTTGTAAGAACGTATGTATATGCACTAGTACGTTTATTTCTCTAGGAGAGCGAGATGTCACTGAGCGAACTTCTGGCCTCCTATGGTCTTCCCGCTTCTGCCATTCCCGTTGAGACCGTCTCATCAACAATGAATACGTCGACTTCGGGCGAGCGAGCTATCACGCGTAAACGCCGCTACAATGGCAGCGCAACACAGGCACCTATCGAGGCATCGGTGACGGTCCAGAGCAGCAGCAACGGTACTGTTCATCCGGTAAGACTTGCTCGCCTCGCGATCGTTAACGATGAGGCCTTTGGTAAAGAGATACCGCAACCAATGAACATGCATGGTTGGTGGGCAGCATGGGTGCTTTTGAAGTGTCTGACGTGAATAATAGTGTTAAGTTTCGCGCTAGATTTGATGGATTCATTATGGATAGACGACACCTAAGAAATATCAGAATATCCGCGACTGTAGATGGCGTAAATGAGATGAATCGGTGCCGCTGTGATGTTGGGGAGATTTACCGGTATTTGTTATATTTTCTACCTAAGCATTCCCGACGCTCATACTGGAATTTGTCAATGTCGTCGCTGCCAAAGGCTGAGAACAGGAATGTTCGTTTTAGATGCTTTTAGCCAACTGGTGACCCCTTAGAATGACTTTCTGGCACAAAAATTACCACCAGAATTTTTTAAACTGCTAGTTAGTAGTGTTGATAATGGTTCTACACTGTAATCAAATGAATACGGGGTTCTATGATAAACATTAAATTACTTCTGCGATTTTAAAAGGCGTAATCAGAGCCAAAAAATACGATGTGGAGACTGCGAATTGGCTGAATTCGCTATTGGTAAATTGGACAACAATGACAATTAAAACCCGTGTAACCAACTAGGGGTTTCTATCTAAATAATTGTTTTCGTCTTTATCGCACCTGTGGTCTTAAATATTTTTTTTAAACATTAGTGGTGCTGAGATTTTGCTTGAACCATAAGGCTCACTAACTGTATGAGTATCTACAACATCTTTATTACTGCAGAATCATTTTGGCAGAGATAGCAACGCCAAGAACTCCTTCGAAATCCCTGTTTTCTGCTCCATTTGGCACTGCATTACAACGAACTTGAAATATTGGTACTCGCTAATAACTCCCTAAAACGGATTCTTGATAGTAGATTGAAGTAGCTCGTCTATACTAGCACATTATTAGGATTCCTATTCTCCCGTCTTTCTTTTTCGTTCTTTTAAATGCTGCTGATAGAGGAGTGAGTTCTTAGGTAACTGTTTTTTCTCCCTTCACCACAGCCTGCTCAGATTAAGTCCACCGGTATGAGGGCAATCGAAATTGATCTCACGTCGAGTAATGGTGAGGCAGAGGAGGAGCTAGTGGATGACGTAGTAATGGACGATGAAGCTGATGACGACGCAGACGTAGATGAAGACGAAGACGATGATGATGATGAGGAGGAAGTCGGTTCTGATTGCAAGAATCATACCGTCTCACTTTGGTGTCAGGCACTTGCGGGTACTTTTTTTTTCATCCCCCCGTATACATATTTTCATCCAAAGTGCACACTTCTTTTCACTTTCTTTTGACATACAGCCGGTGACTCTCCACCAGCCTATAACTCTGAGGAAGACGAAGATTACCTGCCCAACGTTGAAGGAGAGGGTGATTGGCGTGGTGTAAGTG